CTTTTTTTTCTAATAGGCGCAGTGTCTCTTATTTAATTCCTAGGTCTTGAGGACCATTTTTTAAAGTCACTAACTTATTTACTCTGTGGTTCATGGGCAGACAACCCTTTAAGCACATCCTGAACCACTAAGCCACTAAGAAAGGACTCCTAATTTAATTACTTAGAGTCTGTTACAGCTACTAAAGCACAGGCACCAGACTAAACTACAAAGGCATAGAATGTAGGCAATGAATTATCAAGACATCTTCTAAGCCTTAGAGATCTGAAACCAGGCTCCACTCCTCCTGCACATCTTAGTGCTCCTGACTTGCCCCCTCTCTCATACCTGGAGTATTTAGATCAGAACTGTTATCTGCACTGTCTGGTTCAGCAGTCTCTACCTACATTTGGCTAGTGAGCATTTGAAACTCAGCTGTGCACAACTAAAGAACTGAATTTTTAATTTTAAGTTTAACAAACATAAATGTAAATACATACAAGTGGTATATCCTAACGTACTGGACAACCAGATTTAGGTTAGCTTTAAAAACCTGCAGTAAACCAAATCCAGTTTGACTGATATTTCTGTTAATTTTAGGTCTTGGCCCAAAACATCAAAATCACTGGTTATCTAGCCTGTCCCATTTTTGCTTCTTCAACATACACTTTTGCCTCTCCCATCACCAAATTTTTCTTTCTTCCTCTCCCTCAAAAAGTTTTCCACTAAGGTTTCACTCAAGAAAAATTAATATTTTACATCTTCTGTTTCTTTACAGAATCCTATTTTCCACCTCTTTATCTTACTGTGATTTGCTTCTCTTAGGATATTAATTTCTTTGGAACTCTTCTCACAGGAAGTTGCTCTTTCTTTCAAAAACATATGTTGGTATTTTCCTAAATTTATTCTATCCTGCAACTAATTTCCATGTTATCATCCCTAACATTCCTCCACCATCCTGTAAAAACTCCAGCTGCTTTAGATGTCACAAGATACTATTCCATCTCTACATACTCACAATAGCAGCAAGCCATCACTTTCCCAGTTGCTCCTTAAAATTCACTGGAATTTTATGTATGAGTTAGTTCATACTCTCCCATCAAAAGCTGACCTAAGCAATTTACATATTCACATAAGTTTGACCAGTCTTTTCTTTTTTTAAAACTTGTTTCTTGAATTCAGTCTGCCATACCTACAACAAATCCTTGTCTAAGCAGGAACATTTTCTCAATTATCCCCAACAGACCTGTCCTTTGACCTCAAAGGACTCTATAATCCCTTGAATTTATTTCCCCTTTCCTATCTCTTGTCTTCCCTGCCCCGACCCCAATCTTGCCTTCATTATCTATTAGCTATGCTTTCATAATTATTACTTCAACCACTTTCCTACCAAGATCTTCAAATATCCTACCCTTCTATTCTTTAACAGACTCTATGTAAATATAGGAACAGAATCAATCCAATTTCATAAATCATTTATTATGTAAATATTTATTGAAAATGCTTGGCATTTTCCCAGGACATACTGCCAGAAATAAAAAATAACTAATCCAAGGTCACAGAGTTAAACAAAAAGAATCAGAACTACAACCCACTCCAGATCCCTCATTCTCCAGTCCTTTCTCCACTATATGTCATGCTTCATCTGTCATCCTTATAATTTGAACATACCATCTTCCACTCTTACTTTTGCAGATGATCTCATCTACAATCTCTCAACTTCTAAAAAATAAACCTACAAACATAAGACCTTCTGTGTACATCCACTCTTCCTTCCCTCCTAATACAAAGGAAGAGGGTCTTCCTCCTTTCCAAGTCAGTCCTTTGTACCTTCTCAGGAACCTCAACATATTTAGTTCTTCAACAATATGTTCATATTTTAGCACTTAGCTTTGTCAAAAGTGACTTCTACCATATCCTTTTGTCACTGTTCCTCAAACCTTCACATCCTCCCCTTTACTTCAATTACTAGTAATCTTCTGGAGTATTCTATAAACTATAAGCTCCATGTAACTCTTAAGTATATTTATATTATCATAATTGGGTATTTAATTCACAGCACATAAGTATTTATTACACTGAACAAACAACTGAGTACAATGTCAACTTCTTGATTTTTCTTAGGAAATAATAATCAAAAAATATTAAAATAATACAGTTAATGACAACTACTCCTTAGGAAATAAAAAAGGACTTACCTCCAGTTCATTTTCCAGTTTCATTACTTTTGTTTTTAATTGATTTTCTATTAAAAAAAAAAAAAGGCAAATGGTTCACCTGGTTCGATTTACCTCAAAACAAATTTTGAAATGCATTTCAATAAAACAATAAGATTATTTAAAAATATTACATTATAACAAGATTATGTAAAAGTAACCATTATATACCATATCCACAAAATAGATCTAGAAATGTCTTCAAACAAATTTAATTTCCCTATTTCCTAGAATATATTAAATTTGATTTTCTACTGTTCAACAAATAAATAGAATGGTTAACACAATAAAGTTTTTCTCAAGACACTTACCAAATTTTGCTTGTTCTTCTCCAGCTTTTTCAACTTCTTCCAAAGCTAACTCTACTTCTTGAGCTTTCATCTAAATATTAAAAGAAAAATAATGTTACTTGAATATACTTTTATACTAAAATGTAAGTGTTAAAAATAAAAACTGTTTTATTTGCTATCCTAATTCTTAGTGCCTGCAATGGCTGGCTCATGGGAACAGTCAATAAATGTTATTTGAATGAATAAATGAATGATTTTCTACCCTAAGGTTATAATGCATAGAGCTGCAACAGTTTGAAGCGTCTTTGATTCTTCTTTTCCCCTCAACTCTTAAATGCAAGATTAAAACTTCTTCCTTTGAGATGTTTTTCACAACTATTTTGTCTATTCAATTGTTTCTATTCTAGTTCACAAATTTATGTCTGAACTCCTTCATGATGTTATAGCTGTTCAGTTCCAATTCCCTTCATTTTCTCTTATATAACAGCCAATTTTTCTTTTCTAAGGCATATTTTTGTATCTTGTCAATTATGGTTTTAAAGCCTTCCTTGCCAGTAGCATACAGTACACCTTTAAGACCCTTAATAACCTATCCCAAACTGTCCATACAACATCTGCTACAACCTGCTACAAACTTCCTGCACCTGTTTCCTCAAATAAAAACATATTTCCTATTCTAACATTTACTTATAACCATCAGCTTTAGAATCCTCTTAGCATCTCACCACTGCCTTTCACTTATCTAAAACTACTCCTTAGTCTTCATCATTTTACCAAATCTTCTGATACAACTTAAATCACCATTCCTCCCAACAAATCCCCACAACACTCAATGTCTGCATTTCTCACTTGGACTTCAAGATATATGTCCATATGTTATTTTTAAACATTCCTATTCCGTTTCCCTAACACATTCTTTTAGGAAATTTAGAGTAAAAAATTGCTCTTTTATACAAAATTCTCAATTCACATTTGTTAACTCATTTTTGAGTATTGCTTTAGATATTACTAAGTAATTTCATAGAGATTACCTTACGTAAGAACAGACACTGAAATTTCTTCTAAGAGTCAAAGTTACTATTAAATATACTGCATACAAACCTTCATTAATGATTGAGTAATTCTGAAAAGATGTATCACATTTTCTTGATTTTCATTTTTTAGGTCATTTACTTCAACCTAAGCAAACAGAAAAGCAACTATTTTACAACCTTTAAGCAAAATATAAGAACTCTTCCAATTTAGCATTCAATGATTTCAGAGGCAACTTAAGTTTATCACAATTGTCTATCTCTGTATCATTTATTTATTAACCACCTTGGATAAGGAAATCAATAAATTGTCTGCCAGTTCTTCTTGACGAGGCAGGTCATCTGGGTCAATTTTTATTATTTCTTTCCAGTTTATATTAGGTGACATCTTGAATCCTTTTACTGTGCTCCACTACCTGTAACAAAACAGGTGCGAATTAGCATTTTCCAGGTAAAAGGCAATATTGTGTTTACGGTATAAATGTAACTCTACAATGCTTTAGCAAAAAGCTATAAGGCTCTTTCATCGTAAAACATACAAGTATGCAGAGCAGCCTTGACCAAAATGATAGCTTTCCGCACCGGCTAAATAAAACATAACTTCTTTGATAAAGCTAATCTAGGTCAGAACAATCTGAGTCCTCTTCTCCACGACCCCAACACCAAAGCTTGTGAGCACCCGATGGTGTTTGGAAGGATGAAAATGATCCCTGATTCTGAGAAGCAGGAACCCAGGGTTTTAAAAAGTGCTCAAATGCGCAAATAAATAACTGAAATGAGTGAAGCTGTGCCACAGAAACGAAATGAGGCAAGAAGGCTGGATTGCAAACCAGAGGATAGAAGGGGCGGGGTGGTGGCCAGGCTATTGCGTGGGATCTCAAGCTAAACAAGCCGCTTGCGAAGAGACTACCGCTTAGGAGGCTCCACCCACCTAGACCAAGCTTGGCAACCAGGTATAGTTCCTCATCCACCGCACCCACCACGACGGGCCCCGCCGCGGCCCGTGGTGGCTCCTTTTCGCCGTCCCACGAGGACTTTAGGTCCCGCCAACTGGTCGCGAGCAAGATAACGCGGCGGCGGCTGCTAAGCGACACCATTCCCCACCCACCCAAGGCCGGAACAAGGCCCCGGATGCATGGAGAGCCTACATTTTACGACGGTGGATGATGCTTTACGCTTAGTCTTCACGCCCCGCTCCTGGACTCGGGGTTGAGGACGAGGAATTTGACTGGAGTGAGACTCGAGCTTCCAGAGTGCAGTTCTACCTTGCGACAGTGCATGCTGGGAAGTGAAGTCACTGAGAGGAGAAGATAGGGAGTTCCCGGCGTGCAATGCGGAAGGCTGCGACGGTACTGGGGAGACGAGGGGAAAGACCGAGAGGCGGGAGGCGCGGTGGCTGAGGTGTGTCCTCGCTGGTGGCCTGAAGGAGGTAGAAAATGACTGTGTCTTCGATGGCGTCAATCGCTGGGCCGCTCTTCTTGAGATTTCCCTAAGCTGTCCCCTGGTGGATCCGCTCCCAGGTGAGGTCGGGTTGTGGGTCAGTGGCTAGGGAGGAGTTGAGGGCTGCAATCCGGGTTTAGAGAAGCCCCAACCCTTGGGGCTGAAGGGCCTGACCTGGTTCTGGAGAGGTGGGAAGGCACCACCTTCTTTTTAAGCGCGTGCAAGGGGCTCCCAGGGTAGTCTCCTGTAGAAAACGGGTGGAAAAAGTTTTAGCTGCATTTAATATGGGATCTGCCGTGATGCGTTGAAGTAAGGGCTGCGCAGCGATCATGGTTTAGGGCGAGTGAAGAATTCAGAGGACGACGCATCCTCGACTCCACCGGTCTTATCCCGGAGTACCGTTGCCTTCAAGGATTGAGGGGCTTCACGGAATGAAGACTGAAAAAGTAGTACGAGTGAAGGTTCTAGAAAGGAAAGGTAGTACTTATTTGGGCCACTGTGGGAGCTGGAAAGAGAAAGGCCCCCAAGATTCACCAGGACTGCTGCTGTCTCTTGGCTTGGTTCTTGAGGATGAAAGCGCCTTCTCAGGTGTTTAACAATCTTACTTGTCCAAATTTTGATCATCTTGCTGCTTTCAACTATTCTGGAATATAATAAACAAGTAGGCAACTTTTCCTAGGAAGCTGAAGGCATGAAATCTAAGTGGCATTTCTAATTGTGTCTACCAATGTTTTTCCTTTCCATGTTTTTTAAAGCACATTTTTATGCTATAAATGACAGTAAATATTCCTTTCAAAAGTGGATAATAGATTGTCTCTAAACCGCGTGTTTGGGGAAAACAAAAACAGCTCAGGAGAAAATAAAAACATACCAATTTTGTGAAATAAATTTTTAAAATATTTATCAGATTTGTAGGAATTATTATGTATTTACTTTTATGAAAGATTATGTCAAATATATCATTTATTCTTTGAAACAGTCCAGTAAAATTGGTGTTTACATTGTTCTCACTTTTCATCTAAATTAAGAAATTGAAGCTTAGAAAGGTTAATTCTCTGCTGTGACTTAAAAAATGTAATTGAGTACAGATCTTTCTGGCTAGAGGAATGACATACCGCCGCCTCAGACATTCTGGAGAGCAATATTTGTGTACTTGCTCTTTAGTTTTGCTGCTTTATTAAATATTATTCTCATTTTTTAACTTTCTTGCTCAAGAAATTGAATTGAGTTCTTGAAACTTAAATAAGTATCTTTCAATATTTATCGATCACATGTAATGTCATGTATGTATTTACAACTGCATATTTCATATTAGGAATTTGTTATTTTTACAGCAGCACTTTGCTTTTATTTTCATTTATTTTCTTTTTATTCATGTATTAGTTTTGTTTGTATTGGTCTTTTCTACCTTGCTTCCCTCACTTTCTCCTTAGTATTTATGTTCTCAACAACTCATATTGCCTGGTCTAATGGTAAGTTTTATTCTTATCTTTTTAGAAATGAGAATAGGTTCAGAGAAATTCAGTAATTTCCTAATAATGAATGAAGCTAAGATTGTAAATCTCAATGGCATTCAACTAAGAGCAAAGTCTTTCTTAAGTTTAATTCTTTAACTCATCCTAATATTTTTGAGTTCGTACACTGCACTACAGGGATACAGCAGTAATTAATTTTTCTGTGGTCTAGGTTCTTATGCTTTGTAATGTGTATCTAACTGTAAATGAGAAAATTTAACTCAGGGACAGTATAGGAAAAGGCTTAAAACTCTCCATTAATTTTCATCACTTTTTCTGCATCAGTTTTTGCCAACAGATATATTTATGTGACAATTTTGTAAATAGCCTTGTTACAGGAACACTTGCCTAGACCTGCCTCTTTTTCCTAGGCTTTTATGAATAGTTTTATCTAGCCAAAATCACTTGACAAGAAAGCCTTGCCTTTTATAATTGCTAACCCGTTTCTGTGTTCTAAACAACTTATGTTCCTTAGATGTTACTTCCTTTTTGCTGACTTAACAAAAATATAAATGACCTTTAGAAATTTTGTATACTATTGTATATAGCAAAGGCTTTGTTTTACCTTGTTTTCAGGGAGAGGAATAAGTTTTCAACAAGAAGGTACTTGTCTTCCTTCAGCATGAGTAGACTAGAAAGATTAATAGGATTCAGTGTGAATAGTCTTGGTCCACAGCACATGCCAGAAGAGTTTTTCAAAGTATAAAATAATAATAAAACACAGTAGACTACTCTTATTGTTAGTGATGGTATAATAATGAAATTTGGGAGAACTAACTCAATTTCCAAAAAAAAAGTGAACTGGGAGGACGTAATCCTTTGTGTTAAGTATTGCCAAATTCATATAAAATTTTCCTATAGATTCATCTCCCCCCACTGTACTATTAGATTTTGACAGAAAATTAGCACCAATATAATGTTGTTGGAAAATTGTATTTTGTATTTCTTTAATGTATCTCATGAGTGATCATTAATTACAGTTGGATCTTATGACATTTCATTTTTGTAAGTAATCTTTAATCAGTCATCCATTTAAACTACATGCACTTACAAGTGTTCTTATATGCTAGTTAAAAAAAAAAAAAAAAACCACAAACACAAATTCCTACAACTAAAAGCAGTGGTCAATTACATTGTTATAGTATGGCCTCCAATGAATCATGTACATCTCTCCTCTATCCCCTTTGTAACCTCTTGCCATCACCTCAACTTTTATCTTGCAGATGATTCTTAGGGACTATATTGACTTCGCAACTGAGCACATAACATACACTAAGAGGACCACCTCTCTCCCTTTTTCTCCTGTTCCCTTGGGGAATGTTTAAAAACAAGTCGCCTGGTTACAATTTCTCCCACATTCATTTTGGATTCTTTCCCACTTTGCTTTGCAGTTGTCTTTATCTTTACATATTTACACCTGCCCTTTTAAAAAATATCTTCACTGTCATTTTAGTGTGGGGTTGGGCAGAAGATAAGGCAAATGCTTTTTCAATCTCTCCACATTCTTTAAACAAAAGCATCATCAACTTTTTTGTGTGGATTAGTGGTGGTGTACAAGTCCATACCTTGAAACATGGTTAAGCACTTCTGGATTCAAGATGAACCCCATGTAATTTTTCTTTTAGTTGAAAACTGTACTTTCCCAAAGGATACAACTGATTTCCCTTCTATTTTGTCAAAGAGGATTTTGCATTTTTTTTTAAGTCTAGTACATTCTAAGTTGTTACTATCTGATCACAAAAATCCTTTAATTCCTTCTCATGTATTATACATTCTTTGTGTTTATGTATCCTTATATAAAATTTGCATCTGATTTTAAATCAGTACCCACTCTTCCTATACAGGTAGAACTTTTACTGCCAAATGAAGTTTTGATTTTATTTCGTATTCTTCCTCTGACCTGGCCAGAACTCCAAAGATATATCTCAAATTTTAGATTGTTTGGCTCTGTGGATGATATATTTGTTTCCTATTGCTGCTGTAAAAAAAAAATAAATAAATATCAAAAATGTAAGAGATTATTAAAACTCATTTTATTATTTTGTATTTCTGGAGGTGAGATATTCAAAATGGGTCTCAGTAGACTAAGATTGAGGTATCAATAGGGCTATTCTCCTTTTACAGGCTCTAATGAAGAATATGGGCTTTTTGTTGTTTCTTCGTTTGTTTTGACTTTTTCACTTTCTAGAACTGGACCATTCATTGGTTTATGGCCCCTAACCAGAAATCATTTACTCTGACTTCTGTTTTTTGACTTTTCCATCTCCCTCTTTGACTTGTTAAGGACTCTTGCCATTATATTGGGACGACTCAGATGCATGATCTTTTGAACTTAAAATCCTTTAGTGAGACTTTAACACCTGTAAAGTCTCTTTTGCCACCTAAAAGGTTCACAGGTTCAGAGGATTGGAACATGAATAATTTGGAGTGTCATTATTCTGCCTCCTGCAGGAAATAACACTAAATTAATGGTAATGACACAACACAGGCCAGATAATCCTATTATTGTTTGTTTTTTGAGAGTACTTTCCAACTTTATCTTGATTATCAAACTGATTTTTTTCCCCAGGTATCATCCAGTTAATATAGTTCTTTCTTCTCTAAACTATTCCTTCATTGAATCCTTTCTAAGCATTTTATTTTTATTAATCTTTTCTTGTATTTTATTTTCATTTTTTACAAATTGTCATCTATGAAACCTGTTCTCCAGACTAAAAACTTTTGTTGTAATGGGACAAAGAAAAAAATGATAAAGATCTGTGCCATAATCTCATATGCCCAAAGGGCCAAGCAGATAATATAAGTAAATAAATCTGGGAAAAGACAGGAGGAAATAGTAGGACTGTAGTTAACCAACTACCATGTAACTGACTTAGAACATTCAGGACAAGTATTTTTACAAGATTTTTGCCCAACTAAACTAGGTTGCAGGACCTCTGATTTAGATTGGGTTTTATCAAAACCCAAAGTTCCATTGACATCTTGGAAAACCAATTGCTCATTGTTTTTTCAAGTATTTGTTTTCCCACAAAAATTAGGCACTTCTGGAAGATCCATTGCTAGTTGTTTATAATTACCTTACATATGTCTGCTTTCCAGGTGTTTTGACCTATGACAATTGATAGAGTTCATTATCTAGTTAGCTAGAAACAGATTAAGTGGTGTGAAAGCACTCTTGAAGGAACATTTAATTTTGCTTCTTAGAAGTGAAGGGCATTTGAGCTGAGCTTTTCTCTAGAAGGATTAACATGCTTTATTAACACTCCTTACATATTATCCATCTACCAAATTGTGCTTACTTAAAAAATAAAAAGTGTTGCCTGTTTTATTTAATTTTCCCTGTTGTTTTTGTTTCCAGTTTTTGCCCAAAAGTTCTTGTGGAAAAGATGGCTGATATTAACTTCAAAGAAGTAACCTTAATAGTAGGTGTGGTTACTGCATGCTATTGGAACAGCCTCTTCTGTGGTTTTGTTTTTGATGATGTTTCAGCAATATTGGATAATAAAGACCTGCATCCATCTACACCTTTAAAAACTTTATTTCAAAATGATTTCTGGGGAACTCCTATGTCTGAGGTAAGTAAATACTTATTATATGAGACATGATTTGTACTTGTATTAAATTGGGCAGGAAGTTGAACATGTGATTACAGTGGTATTTGATTCTTTTCTTGGCTGTATACCTTCATTTACTTTTTAAAAAATAATATGTGTATGTGAAAACCAAATGTTCAAGGAGAACATTAAATACAAGTCTGTTTCTGGCTGAGTAGGACTCTTTTTTTCTGTCTTGTTAAGTCAGGCAGAAGAGATGATTTGTAATTGTGATATATTTAACCATTTTAAAATATAGTAACTTCAGTATAAATAGATTAGACTATAAGGGTAAAAATAATAAGTACATATGTTGCCAGTTTCACAAAATTATGTCATATCTCTTATTTTGATTTTATATTCAGAACTTTAAAAGTGTGTTCATTTTCCTGAAGGTATTTTACTCTGCCTTTATTGTGAAGGTCAGTGTTAGGCTGTTCAGGATTAAACCCTTATCAGCTTGGGATCTTACAGATGATCTAATATTAGTTTTTTTTAAATACCTTGAGAAAAATAAATGAATTTGTCTATCTACAATGCCTGTTATTTAGACTTTAAATAAATTATTATTGAAACATATGTAATACTCTATTTGTTTCTTAGTCATTATTTGTAACCTCTTTCCTCATTCTCCAAATTTGAAAGCTTCTCAAAGGTGGGGCTGGGTACTTCATTACTTTAGTCATAAACATATAATAAATTTTTTTATTACATAGGCTGACCTTATTTTCCTCCATCCTTCCTCAAAAATTTTTTTGATATTAAGAGGAAAAATATGACCCTATTATATCATAAATTATTTCTAGAGAATTTATTTTCTTCTATCCCTGCCCTTTATCCCCAAAGACTCTTAAAAATTTGTATCCATCTCCCCAATCTGTGCCGGTATATTTTATGATTTGAGTTGTGTGGTTGAGATTTTGAACTCGAAGTTTAGCTGGCCAGATTAAAGGAGTTCATAAAAAATTATCGTGTCATGGTGTTGATGCTGTTTTGTGGTTTTATTTTTTCAGCATTGCAAACTGAAAATTTGATTTTGTTCAGAGTGCCCAGAAGTAGGCAGACTATAAGAATTCATTAACATACTCAAACAGAATGATGAACAAACTAGAATAACAGTTTATTTATAATCAAGAATATAGTTTGAGGGCTGGGGATATGGCTCAGTGGTAGAGTGCTTGCCTTGTACGTATGAAGCACTGGGTTCGATCCTCAGCACCACATAAAAGTAAATAAATAAAATAGATATTTCTACAACTAAAAAAATATTTTAAAAAAAGAATATAGTTTATTTTATTTATTCCTTTATTTTGATGGACATATTCTCTCTCATCCTGTAGGTAAATGTGACACTACAGAAAATTTTTTCTACAGATTATTGAGTTGTTATATGAGGTTTCACAATAAGCCTGGAATTAGCACATTCAAATATCTAAAATGATTGATATTAAGTAATGGTAGCTTGTAATGCCTATGTACGTATGTGTATGTTCAGACCTAAAAAGAATTTTTTGCCAGTATACATCTAAAGACATATTTTGGGCTTAGGACAATCTCTTGAGCCATATGAATACATCTACTACCATATTAGGGACCTTTGGATCACTGTGGATGATCACTATGGAGTCTCAATGATTGGATTATATCTTTAATGGGTCCATTGTATGATTATGTAGTAGGATCTGTTTGATAATTCAGTGGATCACAACACCGTATCCTGGAATATGTCCAAAGTATTTTAAAAATCATTACCAAGGCTATATGTAGTTACTTAGATATTTTTCAGATTTGGATGTGTACATATACATTGGTATTTTTTTTTATCTTCTTTTGCTTGTACACATGTGTGATCTTTTGGTGATTGTTTTTGTATGGATTTGAGTAGTTTTTAAGTAAGTCATCCAGGATGTTCTATGGTATAGCTACAGCTTAGAACCACTGAGCTTAATGAGCCACATACTCTTCTGGCATTTGATCAATAAAGTACCTTATATTAAGGTAACTTTTGTTATGGTAACCTCTGCAGAACTTTTTTGCCATTTCTATGTTGAGGAACAGGGAGCTTATTCATTCATTATATCATGCTTGTTTCTGCTGTCAACTAAATATCAAAAGTAATTCAGTTTTTCTTTAATATACCTAAATTTAATGATGACCTGATTTGTTCATAGTGGCCTTAGCAATTTTGCATTTTCACAAAACCTTATGTCTAATAAGAAAATTATTATTTGTGATAGTGGAATCTTTAATAGATTTCTAATGAATTATTTAAATAATTAATTATATCAGTAATAAATCTTTTAGTTGATCATTACCTGTAACATAATGTACATCTAATAGAACTAACCAAGCAATTATGTCTCCTGCAGTTTAATTTATGTATATCTTTCTGCTTTCTGATTTCTTTCATGTGGCAAATAAGTTTTACATATTTGTCATAGTAATACTATAGGTACATATAAGGTTTCTGTTGTCTTTTTCTGCTTTCTAGTATAAATTGTTAATTCAGCACAGTACCTTACAATTTTAGATGCCTCAGGTTAAGTTTGAAGTGTATACTGGAATAACTAAGCAACAAAGAATATTCTAAATAGGTGGCATATCATAGAATATGTAGTCAATACAGCGATGTTAAAAATGCTCCTAATTTCAAAATAGAGAATGTTTGTTCTTTGTATCTACTGATATTCCTTAGTAAGGAAGAGTAAGGTTGAGTCTATACCTTTGTGACAGAGAGAAAACAGAATATCAGATGTAGAAAAGAAGCTAATGGGTCCAGGGTTGAAGCTCAGTGGTAGAGTGCTTGCCTAGCACATGTGAGGTACTGGGTTCAATCCTCTGCATCACATAAAAATAAGTAAATAAAATAAAGGTATTATGTCCATCTACAAATGGAAAAAAAAAAAAAAAAAAACCCTTTAATTTAAAAAAAAATAAAAGAAGCTAAATGTAAATGTCCTTTACATAAAACTAAAAACAAGTAACTAGGTAATATATATTTTTTGAAATGTGTATTTTATTCTTAAATCTACTTTGATTTTGTCTTTTGATAAAAAGTAGTTTTGGTTGAATGTAACTTCTAACTTATAGAGAAACTTATTACTTGATTTCTTGCCAACAAAAATTCACCACAAAAGATTTTATTCTTCTATTCCAAAAAAACAGTTTTGCTGTTAATGTTACTCCCTGCATAATATTTGGATAATTTTACTTTAATATGCTCATATCTATCCATTATGGAAGTTTTTTCATAAAATAACTTAAGTATCTTTTTGAATTATCATTATTCGAACTTAACTGGTAAACATTCTGATTTTACATTTCCTTTTGAAGATGTGGCAAGCAGTTGTATAACCTTTTGCATTGGTAATAGAAATGCAGGCTTTACAAAGAATCCCATATGACCAATGCCACCATTGTTCTACCTTTTTAAAAAATTTATGTTTTTAACAATCCATAGTCAGATATTCTTCTATGGTTAATTATCATCAATATATGAAAGGGAGGAATTCACCTTGTTTTTTGGAGTAAGGACATAGAAAAACAGAATATAAAGCTGTCTTCTATAATTGTTTTACAATTTCTCAGTCAAATATTAATATCCTTAATAGTACAAGCAATGATTAGGTTTTGTAACCTGAAGGACCAAAGAACTTTAATAATTAATGGTTGTTTTTCCTTGTAGGAAAGAAGCCACAAGTCTTACCGACCCTTAACCGTATTGACATTTCGCTTAAATTATCTATTCAGTGAACTAAAACCAATGTCGTATCATCTCTTAAATATGATTTTTCATGCTGTGGTCAGTGTGATATTCCTTAAAGTCTGCAAACTTTTTCTGGATAATCGGAGTAGCATGATTGCTGCTCTACTTTTTGCAGTGCACCCAATACACACAGAAGCAGTAAGTAAAACTGTAAATTGATTTTATTTAACTGTAAATTGATTTTTAAAAATTATTTTATCCTACAAATCATATCATGATTATACTATCACATGTTCAAGAAAAAAATTAATCAGGATTTTAATCCAAGTATTTATAGACTGTTATATTAGTATAGGTCTTAACTCCCTCAAGTACAAAATCTGCAAACTGCATCAACTTTTTACATTTAGAATAGTTTTGGAGCTGTAACATTTATTCATTCAAGAATATATGATATGTCTAATCTCTTAACTTGAGTAATATAGAGGTATAGTTCCTTTTCTTTGCTAATGGTTTTCTATCAATATTGATTTTAAATACAATTTGTCAACTTGTCAATTTTGTATTTTAAAGGTTAGAAAATAGTAAGGCAAATTCAAGGGCTGAGAATACATCAAAGTAGCTGAACAGCCATCCTAACAAATGATGATACTCAGGAGCTTCATAATTGCTGTTGCCGTGTGTTTCAAAATCATGAGCCATCTCTGTCTCTGCTCTTGCCAGTATTATTCATCAGTCCCTTCCTACCAAGAAACACACAAGCTATTATTTCATTTTTCTTGGTTGCTTTAAAATTCCACATTTGCCTCCCAGCAACAGCTAAGAATATTATGTTCAGTTGCTTTGTTACAAGTTTTCCTTTGAAGCAAAAGTTAATTTGTGTTTTAAAGGAAGATCATGTCTCTCCCATACAACTTCTTAAACCACATGGTATCTAGCCAAATAATTTTTCCATATGTTCACAAAAGGGATAGATTTGTTTTAAAATTTTATAGTGAGTTCAGAATGCTCCAAAGGAAAAGCTTTGAGAGTTTTATATACATATTTTTTAAAGGGTCTTTTGAAAATTTATTGTCCTTTTATTTTGCAGATTTATCGACGTATGGCTTACTAAGTTTATGATACCTTTGCTTTTAAAATGTTCATATTTTAAGTAAATATATAAAAAGTACTTAGCTTTTTTAGAGAATTTTTCTGAATGTTGTCCTTAAATTTGTAAGATATTATCAGTAAAAATATGCAGCATCTCTATACTAGTTTTACAACTTTCTGGGAATCTATAATTATTTCAAAGCAAGTTAAAATAATCATAAAAGAACTGTTAAAAAGGGTCACTGATTTCCATATATGGAAGATGCATAAATTCACCATCTGAGGGCACTCAAAGAGTGTTTACAAAACAGAAACATGCTTTTGAAGTGTTATGGGACTTTAGTTTCCAGCTTAAATGTTCGTTACTGTTATATACAGTAAATTTTCAAGATATATTTCATTAATACAAGCCCAACTCTTTCCCTTTCTAGGTAACTGGTGTCGTAGGAAGAGCAGAACTACTGTCATCTATCTTTTTTCTAGCAGCATTTTTGTCATATACCAAATCAAAAGGACCAGATAATACCATAGGTAAGTGCCTGACATTTGATTTTTATATCTGTCACTATAAAACTTTATCAGATAAGATTTATTTACTGCAAGTGCTTCTTATAAAATATTATTGCCACATTGGGTTTATCCGTACGTATTGTTCTACCTTAGTATACATTGAAATACGAAGTACATAACATTGCAAATATTTTTTTAAAAATTTATGTATATTTTGTGTTTTATCATGAGCCATTAGGATCTATATTATCTAATATTAAAAACCAAATAGCACTGGGATATAATTAGAATCAGTCCAAATTGTTTTGTTATTTGTTAAGAACAAAACAAAACAAAAAGGTACCAGTGCTTCAGTTATTTAATAGGTTGTGATGCTGTTTAGGCAACATTAAAAGCCTGCTAGAGTTTGACTTTAATTGTGTGTTGATTATAGTTCAGTTATTTATTGAGCCCCTACCATGTGTTCTTCTTTGGAATGTACTTTGTATATATTAGCTCAGTAGTCTTCATGATGCTTGGCATCGTTAGAAAAAAAAAAGTTCAGGCAATAAAAATGATTTTTTTTAAATTTTTTTTTTAAGAGCGCAGAAACAGGGGACAGGAAAAGAACTTCATGTCGTTTTTTTTAAGTTGTCAGTGGACGTTTATCTTATTTATTTATTTATATGTGGCGCTTAGAATTGAACCCAGTGCTTCACACATACCAAGCAAGCGCTCTACCACTGAGCCACAACCCCAGCCCCTTCATATAGTTGTCTTAACCTTTATTTGATTAAAGTTTTTTTTTCCTTAGTTCCTAGGTGATTTTCTCACTATTGTCCCAATATACTCATGATAAGCATCCTAATTTTGTGTGTTTATAAAGTAAGGTTAAAAAACAATTTAGCCAAACAACTTAGTAACTTTTAGATATGTGATATGAATAGATTTGCCTTTTACTACTATGTATAATACCTTCTTGAAATAGCTTGAGTGACAGCATAGCATAGTGGTAAAAGTATGGACTTGAGAGTATGTTTTCAAATTCCAGTTTCACCATTTATTTACTAGCTCCATTTACTACCTTGGACAAATTACCTTTGTGCTTTAGTTTTCTCATTTGTAAAATGTGGTTAATAATAACTTTACCTATGCAGTCCATCATCCAGTAAGAGATAGTTCAGCAATTAATATGGAATTATAAAACAGTTTTATTAAGTGCCTCTAAAACAAAGCATGAATGATAGAAAAAATTCTGTGATCTATAATACCATGATCAGGCTTTTGCCTACCTTTCTAACCAAGTATCCTGCTATTCTTTCCAGTAATTTTACTCAGTTCTTTTAATGATTTTTTTATTCTTCATAATTCTATTATTTTTTTCTAGTTATTTTGCCTTGTGAGTTCAAGCCCCGTGTTCTCCTAAAGTTATCAACCACTTGCCTATAGAAAATGCCAGGACTGCTGTGTTTCTATCCTGTGATTTTTGAAAAGTTGACAGGAATTAAAACCCAGGATGGAGAGTTCCAGGTTCTCCATACCACTGTTGGTACATATTACTAACAGTTCTATCAAATATTCCCTAAAGTCTCTTAAAAAGAATTAGCACAGAAAAGGACTAGTCAACTATCCCTCTGAATTTAAGAGGAACTACATGGAAGTTACTGCCTAAGGGTAATTGGTCACTTTGCCTCCCCACTTTTTTTGTATACAAGTTGTATCCCTCATCTATCCTCAGTTTTACTTATTTTTATCTTTTTTTCCCTCTTTAAATTTGTTTTTAACTGATATATAATAAAAAATTCAAAATATTAATGGAATACCATATGCTATTTCAGTACACATATATATTGGGTGATCAGGTTAAACATACCTATCTTGGGAAATGTTTATCATGTCTTTGTGGCAAAAACATTGAAAATTCTTTTGTCTAGCTTGTTTAGATTTGTGATACACATTGTTATCTGTAGGCACCCTACTGTGCAGTTTCACACAGTAGAGAACTTGGGTCTATCTAACTGCAACTTGGTAGCTATTGATCCGTCTTTCCCCGTTACACCTCCCCCGAGTCTCCTCAGCCATTAGTAACCACCATTTCTACTCTCAATTTCCATGAGACCAACTTTTTTATATTCCAGATATGATGATACCATGCAGTACTTGTCTTTCTCTGCCTGATTTATTTCATTTAGCATGATGATCTCCACTTCCATCCATGTTGTCACAAAATACAGAATTTCATTCTGTGTATGGCCAAATAATCTCCATTTTTTTGCATATATGTACCATGTTTTATCCATTCCTTAGTTCATGGGCGCTTAGGTTATTTCTACTTCTTGGCTCTTGTGAATAAACAGGGGAGCACACGTGTTTCTTATACTTACTGATTTTATTTTCTTTGGATATATACCTAGTACTAGATTGCTGGATCATAAGGTAGTTCCTTTTTTTTTCCCCATCTTATTTTCTTTTGATAATGTTATTTTTAATTTTTGAGGAGTCATCCATACTATTTTCCATAATGACTGTACTAATTTACATTTTTACCAATAGAATGTAAGGTTCCCTTTGCTCTACCTTCTTGCTGGCACTCATTATCTTTTGTGTTTTTCATAAAGGCCATTCTTCTTACTGGAGTGAGGTGATATTTCATTGTGATTTTCATTTGCATTTGTGTGACAATTAGTGATGAACATCTTTTCATATGCTTGTTATCCATTTATATGTCTTCTGAGAAATGTTTATTTAAAATCTGTCTTAAATGTTTTTTAGTGGGGCCTTTTTATTTCTGATTAATTTTAGGAATTCCTTATATATTGACTATATTAATCCCTTGTCAAGTTTGCAATGTGTAGTTTGCAAATGTTTATCTATTTTGCTTTTGTTGCCTGTGCTTTTGGGTCTTGTCCAAAAAATCCTTACCCATTCCAATATCTTAATGCATTTCCCCATGTGTTCTTTTGGTAGTTTCATAATTTCAAGTCTTACATGTAATCTATTTTGATTTAATTTGGCTTTTGTAACTGATAAAAGAGAGGAATTTAGTTTCATTCTTTTGCTTGTGTATACCAGTTTTCCTAGCACTGTTCACCATGCTTTTTGAAGACTTTTCTTTCTCCACTGTGTAGTCTTAGCACCTTTGCTGATAATCAGTAAACTGATGTAGAAGTGACCCATGACTTCTGGGCTCTGTTTCGCTGCTGCACTGTCCTATGTTTCTTTTTTAATGCCAATATCATGGTGCTTTGATGATTATAGCTTTGTAGTATAAAGCCTCCTGCTTTGTTTTTGTTTGTTGTTGTTGTTTTAATCTACTCCTTACCACCATCAAGATTTCTGAAGTACTTTGATTTTATCTCTGCAATTCCCACTATCCAATGTAGCTGCAGATTTCTGTAATGAAGAAGCAGATAATGATCAACTCCAAGGAGTAAGGAGAGACTTGGAGACAAATTTTTAAAAATTTCTCTTACATTCTACTTTAAATGCAGTCCCTAGTAATACCCATACAAGCATACATATTGAAGATAACCCCAAAGGCCTAAGAGTTTTATTTTTTTAAATATGAAAACCACCTTTCCCTCTACTGAATCTTTTTCTGGGGTTGATGTGGGAGACCAACTGTAGACATGATTGAGTCACACTCCCCGGCTGGGTGCTGAGGTGCTCAGTCACAGAAATGTGGCAGAGCTTTCCCCACCCTTCTTGGGTTCGAGGGTCAGTGTCTCATGCATGGGTGTGTCTTGCTACTGCCTCCCATGGGTGAAGCTATGCTCACCTGTTCCTTTGTAATATAATCCCTTGTCCTGTTTAGGATAGAATCTTCCATGGAAGTGCCTTGTGTGTGTCTCCTTCTCTTACTGTGCCCTTGGGTGTGGCCTACCCAGGTGTCAGTCAACCTGCTGACAGTGGACATCATGAGGATAGACTCAGCCCCCTGAAACCTGACCCCTTGCCTCATTTGAATGGCTTCTCCTCAATAAAAGGGGTCAGCGCGTGCTCTCGCGCTCTCTCTTTCTGCAGACCCTTAAGGTCAGAGGAGCTGTCACAGCGACCCCAAAGAAAAAGGTATTTGTGTCTTTTGTGTGGTTATTTTGCGCAGCCCAGTTAGCTCAGTTTACCTGGAGTGACCCCTGAGCTTTTAGTCGCGAAAACTGAAACCCAGCAGATTGATTTTTGGGGAAGAGGCCAGCAGATCATGCTTATTACCCATTTGACCAAAATGAAAACAAAATGGTGTTGCTTTCAATACCTTTACCTTTCTTCTAGGTGGGATGACACACACCTGTAATCCTAGCCACTTGGGAGGCTAAGACAGAAGGACTGAAGCCTGGGCAATTTAGAGAGACCCTGGCATAAAATTTTTAAAAATTTTAAAAGAGTTGGTGATGTACCTCAGATGTAGAGCATACCTGAATTCAGTCCCATTGCCAGAAAAAAATATTAAGTTAAGAAAATAAATAAGCAAAATTAGTATTCCTCATAATACCCATTTCTAATCTGAAAACGTACTTTTAAAAAAATTTAATATTCTTATTAATTGTTGATGGACCTTTTATTTATTTATTTATATGTGGTGCTGACAATTCAACCTAGTGCCTCAAACATGCTAGGCAGATGGTCTACCACTGAGCCACAACCCCAGCCCTGTACTTTTCTTGTTATTGTTTGTTCTCTAACTATAGAATGGTAAACTACTCCTTCTGAGTATGTAACTTTTTTCCCCAAATTTTTACTATTCTCTAGAATTATGGCTCCTCATATGCAGTAGATCTTCTGTACATATTTGTTAAATAAATGAGCAAGTAGATGAATTATTTCAGATTCTAATTGAAAGGATACTAAAGCCTTCTTTGGACCTCTACCTTTCAACTCCTTAGTTGGTACTTAGTACTCTGCAGTAAATAATTTAACTTCTGAGTCCACAGAAAGCTTCATTATCATATTTGTATTATGCATTCTATCTAGTATACATTAAACCTGTGTAAAGGTTTTCAATTTGTAGTAATTGAAATAACTTCAAATTCTAATTATTCATGCCCAACCCCTTTTTGTAAACACAAATCAGTCTCCATGCCTTTGCATTTACTTTTCTTTTTATCCTTTGCATTTACTTTTGAGGTTTTTGCTCAAATGTTTCATCAAACATTGTCAGTAGCATTACTCATCTTTTCCAGTCCTTTTTATTTCCCTTTACTGTTTTTTTTCTCTTTACTTTCTTCTTTTCTCTGTAACAATTTACTATATTGTTATTATGTATGTTATGTATTATACATGTCATTACTTTTGATTGTAATTTCTCTTGCCTCATGCCCTGGAAATGTAATAGATGTTTAAAATGAGTAATTTAATAGAGGATTGCTGAAGCTACGTATAAACTATTTAATATTTTTAAATACCTACTTTCAATGCCATTATTTTCCACAAATTTTTAATACATATGTAGCCCTTCTGTCTTATCTGCTCTGCATCACTCATTGGCCAAGCTTATTCTTATTTCTACTCCTTTATTCATACATCCTCTTTACCAGTTTTTCTCTTTTATATATATTCTTCAATATTCAGCTTTACGTTCATCTTTTTTATGAAAAATCTTCTATGGATTTCTTTCCTTTATGAATTTTAAGTTGAATGTAACGCTATACTTCAGACCTTGATATAATCAATAACATTGGTATTGATGATTTTGGCCTAATGAGAATATGAGTTTGTCTTGTATTATAAGTATTATACTTAGTGTCTTCAGGGTTTGGTTTGGTTTGGTTGGGGGAGGAGGGTGCCAGGGATTGAACTCAGGGGCACTGGACCAATAAGCCACATCCCCAGTTCTATTTTGCATTTTATTTAGAGACAGGGTCTCCCTGAGTTGCTTAGCACCTTGCTTTTGCTGCGAGGCTTTCTTTGAACTCTTGATCCTCCTGCCTCTGCCTCCCAAGCCACTGGGATTAGAGGCATGCCCAGCCAGTATCTTCGGTTTTGGGAGTTTCATTTGGTTTTTTGTTGTTTTCCCTTTGAATAATTGTAGTCTGTAGAGTACTTTCAAGCTTAAAACAATTTCACAAATAGGTATATTTCTGAATTAAGTCCTATACCAAAAGAAAATGTATTAGATTCATGAATTATGTTCGTGTTCATACCTGGAGTTAATGTTTTTTATGGGTAAAAACTGAAGTTGTACAATCATACTACCACTTTCAAACTGGAAAATAGTGGCATGTCATGTTTTCCTATAAGAAGACTGAAGTTTAGAATAGTTGTTCAAAAAGCAGTTAATAGTTGATACAGAATTAACCTTCATAGTTCATTGCTCTTTAATCAAATTATTACTAAATAGCACATTCACTTAAAGATGAAGTATGTTCTCTATTTAAACAAAACATAGGTATATTCTATTGTATATTTTTAAAGAATGGTATAGATATAAATGTTTATTAGCCTGTTTCATTTACATTTTTATAATCCTTTTTTGTGAGACTGGCCTGACAGTTTTTTAAGTTTTTATTAGATATAAAAAAGTATATAGATACTGTATGGTAATTCCCAGGAATTTGTCTGTTTTATAGATTGATGCATTTTTCTAAATTTATCATTCCGCCTTTGTTTTAAAAATTAGTACTTGATTGGCTTATTTTCATCTACACAGAAATTTTTAGTTAAAATTACATATCTTGATGTTTTGCTTTGAAGATTTAAATTCAAAATTGCAAGATTTAAATACATTTTAAAATGTGAAGTATTAACCAATAGGAAATAACAAAAATGTTGATATGAAATCACAAGTAAAGCTTAAAGTATCTTTTTATGATATTATAAAATTATTTCATTTAGTTTTTTAATTTATTGTTCTGTTCTTAAATTGCAGCTTGGACTCCAATTGCACTGACAGTGTTTTTAGTGGCTGTTGCAACACTGTGTAAAGAACAAGGAATAACAGTTGTGGGGATTTGTTGTGTGTATGAAGTATTTATTGCCCAGGGGGTAAGGAAAATAAACTTTCTTGTTGCAATCTTTCATCCTAATTGAATCAGATTTTTATAACCTTATTTTTTATGTATGTAATTACATAAATCAGTTTGCTTACCAATAATGATATCAAAAATTTGCAAAAAAAAATCTATAAAGAAATCAGTGGTAAAGTATAGTAATACTGTTATAGTATAATTTACTATTGGATAAGAGTATTGGGCTCAGTTTTGTTCATTATCAGTTCCACAAATTGTTCCATGTTGACTTTATATTTATACTTAATTTTTTATCTAATCTTGCATTTAGAAAGTACTGTATTATTTAAAACATAATATATTGTTATTATTTAAACTTTTTTTCTTTTTCAGTATACTTTGCCATTATTATGTAGTACTGCTGGACAGTTTCTCCGTGGAAAGGGTAGCATTCCGTTTTCTATGCTGCAGACACTAATAAAACTCATTGTCTTGATGTTCAGTACGTTATTGCTTGTTGTGATTAGAGTCCAGGTTATTCAGTCCCAACTTCCAGTGTTTACAAGGTATGAAATTCTGGTTCTTTTTTATTTTTAATCATTCTGCCTTTTTAACTTTGGACTTTAAGTGATCATAAATGTTTGGGAAAGTCTGATTTACACTGAATTTTTTCAGCAGCTTTATTGAGGTATAGTCTATATATTTTTAAAACTGCAGATCGTGTTTAGAATATACAAATTCATTAGTTCTGGCATAATTGTACATCCAAGATACCACCACATCAAGGATAATGACCCACAAATTAGTTGTTAAGGTTAAAGTGGAGTCTTCTCTATCCTTAGTGATTTTTGTTTATCAGTTGTTGAGAGAAGAATATTGAGATCTCTACTGTTAATTGTAGATTTGTCTTATTGCAGTTTTTTCATGTGTTTTTTAAGCGCATAAATGCTTAGGATTTCCACATCATCTTGATGAGTTGATATCTTTATCATTATTAAAAGAGCTTCATTGCTAGTAATAGTCTTTACGTAAACATTCACTCTGTCTTATATTAGTTTGTCACTCCAGCTGGGCACAAAGGCACACACCTGTAATTGCAGCAACCTGGGAGACTCAGGCAGGAGGATGACAAGTTTCAGGCCCGCCTTGGCAATTTAGTGAGAAACTATTTCAAAATATAAAAAAAGTACTGAGGATGTATGTGGCTTAGTGGTAGAGATACCTACTGAGGAAAAAAATTTGTCATGCCAGCTCTCCTTTATTAGTGTTATATAGTATATATTTTTCCATCTTTTTTACTTTTTATCTATCTCCCCCTCCGCCCGTATACATATGTTTTATATCTACACACATTTTGTGTGTGTGTGTGTGTGTGTGCGCGCGCACGTGCGCGCGCATGTTTTGTTTTTTTGGGGGGTTTTGGATGATTGAACCCAGGGACACTTTATTGCAATCTACATCTTCAGCCCTTTTTACCATTTATTTTGAGACAGGGTCTCACTAAGTTACTTAGTGAGTTGCTAAGGCTGGACCCAAATTTGCAATTCTCCTGCCTTAGCCTCCTGAGTCAGGAATTGCAGGCTTGTGCCACCAATCCTGGCTGCTTTTATATTTTAAAATAATTTCTTGTAAGTTATATATAATTGGGTCTTAATCATTGTTTTTTGTTTGATTAGATAATCTGAGGTGTTTAAAATGAAATATTTGGTCCATTTATATTTAATATAATTATACATTGGATGTAAATCTTCTACCTTAATTGTTTTCTCTTTTCCTCATCTGTTTGTTTCCTTTTTACTTTCCCATCTTCCTTAGAACTTTCCCTTTGTGCTATTTGTATATATTTCCCTTGAGCATACATTTTTTTTTAAATTATTTTATTGTTGGTTGTTCAAAACATTACATAGTTCTTGATATATCATATTTCACTCTTTGATTCAAGTGGGTTATGAACTCCCATTTTTACCCCGTATACAAATTGCAGAATCACATCAGTTACACATCCATTGATTTACATATTGCCATACTAGTGTCTGTTGTATTCTGCTGCCTTTCCTATCCTCTACTATCCCCCCTCCCCTCCCCTCCCCTCCCCACTTCTCTCTCTACCCCCTCTACTGTCATTCATTTCTCCCCCTTGTATTATTTTCCCCTTTCCCCTCACTTCCTCTTGTATGAAATTTTGTATAACCCTGAGGGTCTCCTTCCATTTCCATGCAATTTCCCTTCTCTCTCCCTTTCCCTCCCACCTCTCATCCCAGTTTAATGTTAATCTTCTTCTCCTGCTCTTCGTCCCTACTCTGTTCTTGGTTACTCTCCTTATATCAAAGAAGACATTTGGCATTTGTTTTTTAGGGATTGGCTAGCTTCACTTAGCATAATCTGTTGAGCATACATTTTAATGCATTGTTGTTACATTTGCTTTAGATGCTTATCTTTAAGCATTTCAGTGATAAAAGTCTTTTATATTAACTCATGAAATTATTTTTTTCTCAGGGCTTTGCATTCTGTTAGTGCCATTTTTCCTTATCATGAAAGACTTGCACATTTCTTGGTATGCAGCAATAAGTTCTGTTAGCTTTTATATCTAAAGATGTATTTACTTTACCTTTTTTAAAAAATCTTTTTATTTTTTTAGTTGTAGATGGACACAATACCTTTACTTCATTCATTAATTTTATGTGGTGCTGAGAATTGAAACTAGTGCCTCACACGTGCTAGGCAAGCACTCTACCACTAAGGTACAACCCCAGCCTGAGTGGAGAATACTACACTTGCTATTTCTCATTCAGTATTCTAAAAATGTTGCCCTATATCTTTTGGCTTACATTTTCAGTAAGAAATCCTTTCTCATCCTGTATCTTTAGCTTCTGTAACATTTATTATTATTATGTCATGTTGGTGGGGGGCGGTTGGAAGGTGTTTTGCGCGCGCACATGTGTGTGTGTGTGTGTGTGTGTGTGTGTGTATCTGTTGTTAATTTCATCTAGTTATTTTTCATCTTAGAAACTGTTTTCATCTCTAGAAGGAAGTCTTTGATTCAAATTTTTTTAATGTCTTTCAAATGTCTACATAATCTATTTTGTTTTATTATCCTTCAATACTTTTTCTGTGATCCATGCCATTTTGATCAATTTATATTGAATAAATTTTCTTCTCATTGTGACTTTTATTTTTTTGCTTCTTTGCATGTCTGGTAAATTTTGAATAGATGCCATATATTAATTGTATCTTCATGTATTTCCATATAAATATTTTTGAGCTTTGTTCTGGGATACATGTAAGTTATAAAAAATGTTTTATCTTCTAGTCTTACTTTTAAACTCTTTGTGGGACCACAGCAGGCTTTAGAATCAGCTAATTTTGCACATTAACATCTTTCTAACTTATACCAATGACTGAATTAAGAAGATTTCACATGAGTGCTGAGGGCATTCCTTCCTCTGTATAATTTTATGGGACTTTCATTTCTCTTCCTGTTTCTTTATCCTTTTTCAAAATGTTCTTTCCCATTAGTTTTCCTAAAATCATTTTTAACAATCACAAAGTAAATGGCCTAAAACAATAGAAATGTATTCCCTCCCAGTTTAGGAGGCCATACGTCCAAAATCAAGATGTTGGCACAATTGGTTTCTTGAAGAGGCACTGAGGAAGAATATGTTTCTTGCCTCTCTCCCACCTTCTGCTGATTGCTGGCAAGCTTCAGCATTCCTTGATTTTGTAGCTGTATCACTCTAATCTATTCTGTCTTTACATGGCTTTCTTTCCCATGTCTGTCTATCCTCTCCTCTTTGTATAAGGACATGGTCATTGGATTTAGGGCCTACTGAAATATGTCCTCATCTTAACTAATTACTTTGGCAAACTCCACATCCAAAAAAAGCCATATTCTAAAGTTTTAGATCGACATGCATTTGGGGGAGACATGATTCAGCCCACTAACCTTAGACAGTTCTTCTCATATATATTCAAGCAGGAACTCCTCAATACTGAAAGATAGCAGAGACCGTTCTGCAGTCTCTTAAGTTTTCTTATCATTTTTCTTCTCTCTGATATTCTACCCAACTAACTATAGACCCCTGAGCTCCTCAGGCTTCTGGTGTTTGAAGCTCCATCTTCTCAACTTCAGATATACCACTGGACTCAGCCTGAGTTCCATCATCTTCTTGCACCTACCTAGTGAAAATTTAATACCTAGATAGAGCTTTAAGTTGGTACAAGATGATGATGGAACTTAGGCTGAGTCCAGTGGTGTTCCAGCACGTAGGCCAGGGTACTTTCCATGTCATTGCATTGTGGGCAGTGAATAGAATAAATTTTTTTCAGATAATTTTTTAAGTCCAAAACTTTATAGTGTTTTCACATAATTAATTGACCTCAGTGTTATTTTTTATTTAAAGAAGAATGACTTCAACTTGCAGAATTTTTAACTCTGAGTCTAGCCATATAAAACTGAACTCATTCAGGTATAACAGTATTGGAAATGGATTGAATTGTAGATATATATTTTTATATATCCTTTAGCCCTTAGTTTCATTGTTTTTATTCTGATTATTACTCCATTTAGAGAATTTAAATGAACTGTTTTCTGTGTCTGTTTCTACAGTCTGAAATGTGGTTTATATTGTCTTTGTGGCTCTTGGTGTCTGGAACATGTAGCATTAAATATATATTTTCTAAATGTAAACATTTAAAAATATGTACATGTGCATGTATATGAATTTGATTCTATTACACCACCCTGTGAAACTGATTTTAATAATTTGTTTTTAAGTTGATTATAATATGATTTGATCTATTTTAAAGTTAACTTTTTTTTCTATGTCAGCTATCCTAAATATAGGAATAAATATAGGAAAAAAGCTTTGTATTCATTTATGCCAAATTTTTTGAAAGTTCAAGTACTGACATAATTTATTATTCTTCATGTGTATAGAGATTTCAAATATGAAAATTTAAAAAAATTTATTCAACATGTGCTTTTTCTCATTTAACATTTTAAGAAAATCAAGTCTAAGGGGTAAATGTTGTTTGTTTTTTTAATTATTTAAAAATGACATTGGGTTTTTATTGTTATATTTTGACATTGCCAAAAGATTTGGAAGATAGATAAAAACATACAAATCTAAAGTTATTCATTTGTAATGTACTATTTTAAAGTAATTTAATTTACATGAAATAGTCTATGCTAATAAAATACATAATTAACATATGATGAAGGGGTTAGGGAAATAGCTTAGTTAATAGAGTGCCTTGCCTAACATGCACATGGCTCTGGATTCAATCCTTAACAGCACAGGAAAAAAAAATCCAAAAAAAAAAGTGTCAACTTTCAGAGAAATAAACTAATATATAGGTTATTAATATTCTAGGGAAAAAAAAGTTAGAACACAACTAGAATGTTACATAAACCTACACAATTACAACTCTCTACTAGAAATTTAGTTTTTAGCTTCCTAATAATCAAAGCAAGGATGGTTAAGTTAGGAGGTAATACAGTTTTCTCTGTCCATGAAAGGAAAAAACCAAATTTTGTGTAGAAAACTTAATTTTTTTAATAAAAATTAGCATTTAGCTCTACTAACTACTAGCAGTTCTCTCTAAAATAAATGTCTTATGTAGGAAAACATTTAATGAGATTTAGTGAAAATAATTCTATCAAATGTCATATTGTAGTATGAATTATTCTAATAATAACTAGAAAGAGATGACCTGCTTATTCTTCAAGTAATTCTTCATAAATATCACTTCTCCCAACTAGACATTTCATATAATTCAGATAGTTTGAATTTTAGTAATGATTTTATGCAATATTCAATACTTTATTTATATATGTTGTAGAATAAAATTTGTGTTTAAAAAGTGTTTTCTTAAAAGTAGCTTTTTTTTTTTTTTTTTTAATTCTTTATACAGGTTTGATAACCCAGCTGCTGTAAGCCCAACTCCCACAAGGCAGCTAACTTTCAACTACCTCCTTCCTGTGAATGCTTGGCTTCTATTAAATCCTTCAGAGCTGTGCTGTGATTGGACCATGGGAACAATACCACTTATAGAGTCATTTCTAGATATTCGAAATCTTGCTACTTTTGCTTTCTTTTGCTTTCTGGGGGCTTTGGGAATATTCAGTCTCCGATATCCTGGTGATTCCTCCAAGACTGTTTTAATGGTAAGAAACTTCTTTCACTTTTTCTGCAATGTTGCATCCAGTTGATTGAGACTATCTTTAATTCATCGAAGACATCTTTTTGAAGCAGTGTCTTTCCTTGGTCAACAAATAAGTTTAATTTATAAACTTATTTTAGTTTATCCTAAAATTATAAAGCAGGCACATAGTTTTCCTAATTAGGTGGAAACTAAAATCAAGATGTGTCTTTTTTTTTTTAGTTCATTTTCTCTTAGCTTTATCTAATTAAATTATATACATGTGAAGAAATGGTTTATATGTGTACTTGTTTTCCTCTCATAGAGAAGAGTGTCCTATGAAATATGCAGCTAGAGAAATATATGTTAAGTTCTCATTAGCAAAATATTCATTACTTCCTGAGATAGCTCTTGCTATCTTCAGAGAATCCTGTTTAGTTGGAAAGGTTTTGTTGTTGTCATTTTTCTGAACTGTTTATTTGTAATTTTCCCTCTCTACCCTCAGTTCTTCCTCACTGTAGTTATTTTCCCTCTTTCTTTTAATTATTAAAGACAGTAATAATCTATAACATTTTCTTAGCATTTACTACAGATTAGAAAATATATTGCTTCAAAAATATTTCATTTCTGGCTATAGCCACTAAATGCATACTAGGCAGCACTTTATACACAGAATATGATAATAAGAGGAAATATAAAGTCCCATTTACAGGGAACTTGTCTTCTAGAGAAATTTGAAGCCAATGGCTGATTGAGAGAATATAAGATTTGGGAGAGATCGTGTTTACATCATCCTTGGACATGTTGAATGTGAGGGTTATTTAAAGCATCCTAGTATAGATTTTGAACAGTACTTCATGTCAAAAAGAGTTGCCAAAGTTGAAAATAAAATTTTTATTCATTAGCATAGTGGTAATTAATTGAAACCAGAATGTAGGTAGGATTGTATTTAGAGAGATTATAGAGCAACCTTTGTCAACAAGGATTTTTTCAGTTCAAGAACATTTGCTAGCTGGTACCATTGTAGATGCGTAGAACAAAAGTTAATTCATGTTCATTATGGATGCCTTAGAGTATCTGATCTTATTTCACCCCTAGAATAGTTAAGGTGACTGAGTAGAGTGAAAAGAGAAGCCTACAACTAGGTCTTAAGCAACTCGCATATTCAGATTTTGAATAGGAGACAGACCAAGGGAACAGAAAAGTAGGAAAGTATATTAGAAAAGACAGAATGTTTAACTCTTAACAGACACTGTTGAATAGAAAAGTGAACTCTGTTTTGAAAAGTGATGTCTGTTGGATTTGACCTCTTATAGATCCATTAGTTAATTAAATGAAATTTATTTCTGTGGAGTGACTTGATTTGGAAATACAAAAGTAAAGATAATATTGGTGAAAAACTTGATAGGTTGATACTTAGAAACATTTTCATTTGAATACTCAGCTATCTTTTAGAAGTTAGGAGATATCACTAATGAGTTGGCTTAAAAATAAAGTTGAAATGTTGATTAAATCAGTTTATACTAGCTACATGTTACTTACTGTGGCTACAAAGGTGGAGCTTAAAAGATATATTGTCACTGAGAAGATTTTTAAGGTTGGATAAGCAAGAGCATGTTTAAATTTTGCTACAGAGGATATAGGTGATTAGAAAAGGTTGAAACATATGGTAGAAGGGAAAAGCAGGGAAATACCAAGCAAAAGTTTGACCTGAAATAGAAGGAGGAAACTTACAGGAAAAAAGGAAATGGGAATGAATATGGATGTTAGTAGGTTTAATAGCAAGAAATTGAAGGAATTTTTCTCTTATGGCTTTACCTTTCTCTATAAATTAGTATCGTTGCCTGCTGAAAGTAAAATGGGTCAAAAGATTGAGAAGAGCAATCAAGATTCAAACATTCAGAGAGAATAGAATAACACCTATCAGAAACCTAGAAATTCTAAGCAGTCTTAAGAATCAATTTGAGGCTGGGCCTGGTAGCACACCCTATAATCTCAGTGACTCAGAAGGCTGAGGCAGAAGGATCTCGAGTTCAGATCCGGCCTCAGCAACTTAGCAATTTAGAAAGACCCTGTCTCAAAAAATAAAAAGGGCTGGGGGTGTAGCTCAGTGGTTAAGGGCCCTGGGTTCAATCCCTGATACAGAAAAAAAAAAAAAAAAGAATCAATTTGAAGTTGGTGGTCATGAATTTATGAGGATATTAATCTAGTCAGCTTTGGGACTTACTCAAGCTGCTCAAATACAAACAGCATAGATAAATGTCAGAATAATTCAAAATTGGGGTTCTGGTAAAAGAAAGATTGAAACAAAAAGGAGAGATTGAATTAAAGCTTGACCAATGAAATGATGGTATATGTAACATAAGCTAGATTTTTTAAAAAAGAGAATAATGCCAATGAAATAGATTTATATAAATTATGTATTATGTACATTAGAAAAGGAACAGTTGTGACCTTGAGTATAACTGCTTTAAATGTACTAGTTTTTAAATGGTATTTTCTGAAAATCTCTACAAAGGAACAATAGAGCAAAGATGTAATTTCAACAACAGATACCATGTTAACTCTTATTAAATAAGATGTCATGTGTGTCACAACAATTTAAGTAGTTAGTCTTTTTTCATTTATGAAAAAATAGTCTCAAGGTGATAGAGTAGTTTACTTTCTATTAAGTAAGAAATAAGTGATAGGTTGATTTCAAACTCATAGCTCTTTCTGTTATCCTTCCTTTTCAAGACAGTGTATGTTATTAGAAGAAAATTAAAAATTATTCATAATTAACTAGATTGGCATACATTAATAAAGAGCATTAAATAGAGCTTGATAGAACTTATGAGTTTAGTCATTAGACTAACATTTACACATTTCTTATCCTAGAACCAATAAACTTTTCCTGAGAGATTTTTTTTTGTAACTTATAAATCAGTCTAAGATGCATCTCTGAATGAATTTAACACTTTTAATTCCTACAAATGAAATTGCTTTAGAACAACCATGAATTAATGGGAAATTATTTTTGTCAAGCATATCTAGGAAGTGAAAAATTATGTGCACTCTAAATACTTTACGTTTTTATTTTAATAATACTGAAATTTCAGACATAAATTAGTGTGATACATAGCAGCTTGAGAATGGTACTTTTTCTCAGATTCAATATTACGTGAAGTCATAATATATGAAAGAATATTCATGCAGAAAGTATTCTTTTCTAAGTATATGCATCTCTACATCTATATTTTACTAATAAAGTTTGATAAGGAAGAGACAGTTCTTTGCATTAGAAAAGATGCAAACTTCTGAAGCTGGAGATTAACTTATTATTTATTTAGGTACTGTGAAACAAATCAGGGAAATAACATAGAAACAGATGCCCCTAGAAAGATGTCCTGATGACAAACAAACTTAAATCCTTTCACAAGTTTGCTAATTAATTTTTCACAATTGTGCTAATTTTTTGTGGCTTTATAATTTAAAAAAAACACATTTCATCCCATATTCACAAGGGCAATAAATCTGAGCATTTTTATGACATTTTATCTCAGTATATGTATTATAGTTTTAGAAATTCTTACATAGAATAAAAAGTCTTCAGTTTCCAGTATTATGTGGTTTCTTAGAGTAATAAAGTTACAAAAACATTTATGTTATCAACTTGTGTAATTTTGTTGAAAATTTTTTAACATATTTTCCTATCATTTTATTTTGGCCATATGTAAAAAAGTTAGATGTGTAAACATTTTTTTAATTTTTAAAAAGTTTTTTATTCTGGTAAATTAAATTAAATTTTGTGTTCTGCACCATTTCCTCTGTCCCCAGCAATTATCATTCTACTCTCTTCTGACTGTGGGATTTTTTTAGATCTCATGTATAAGTGAAAGCATTTGTCTTCTGTGCCTGTCTTTATTTCATTTAATATAATCTCCTCCAGGCTGGTGTATGTTGAAATAACAAGATTTCCTTCTTTTTAAGGCTGAATAATATTGCCATTATACATAAGTACTCTGATTTTTTTAATCTGTTTATCCATTCAGTCCGTTTGATTGAATGTGATTCTATTTCTTGCATATTGTAAATAATACCACAGTGAATATGGGAGTGTATATGTCTCTTCAACATAATAATTTCATTTCATCTAGATATATACCCAGTAAAGGGATTGCTGGATCATATGGAATTCCCATTTTAAATGTTTTGAATAATCTCTGTACTCTTTTTCATAATGACTATGTTATATTTAGATGTCCACCATCAGTATGCAAAGTTTCCCTTCCCATCCCTACCTATGTGTATTTTCTTTTTTTTTTTTTTATAACAATCATTCTAACTAGTCTGAGGTGATATCTCATTGTGATTTTAATCTGCATTTCTTATTTTGAGTATTTTTTCATATATCTCTGACCATTTGAATATTTGCTTTTGAGAAATATATTCAACTCCTTTGCCCATTTTTTAATTGGTTTATTTGTTTTCTTACTATTGAGTTGAATATGTCATTTTAGAAATATTTTCAAAAAAGTTTTTTTTTATTAACAGGATACACCTAGTTTCAGTTTTCACTTAAAGATGTAAATATTTACCATTGATCATTTTTTTTTTTTATATTTCACTAGGCAAGTATATTTCTCATAGAAAAAATACAGTGAAAAAACAGTGTAGCTAAATATACTTTTCAAATTTAAAATGCTATTAAAGGTTCAGGTTTTAATTTCAAGAAAATAATCATTCCTAAACAATATACCTAGGAATATTATTTTCAAAGATATCCTCCAGTTATAAGTTCCAGAATTTAAGACTTCCATCGCATCTTGCTTACATACATCCTGATGATTATACCACCCCTAAATTGTCTTCTTACTGTTTAAATTAGTATTCTTCATACTATCATTTTTAAATGGTCCACAAATGCATTTATCCAAATGAAATGATAAAATTTTGGATTTAGGTATTGAGTGTTTAGTTTTTTAATTTAATAAAATTAAACTATCTTTTTCTTTCTAGGCACTTTGTTTAATGGCATTGCCATTTATTCCAGCATCAAACCTTTTTTTTCCTGTTGGATTTGTTGTTGCTGAGCGTGTACTGTATGTTCCTAGCATGGGATTCTGTATTTTGGTAGCCCATGGGTGGCAGAAAATTTTAAACAAAAGGTAAATTAAAATGTTTGTTCATTTAATGCTTGCTAAATATAGAATTAAATGTGACATTAAAGTATTTTAAATCTGTATTTTGTTCAGTTTTGTAAATTATACTTTTTTAATCTTTTGGGTTTTTTCATCTTAATGTTTTCTTCTCATTGTCTGTGATTCAAGTTAGGAAAGCTCCACAGTACCTACTCACTCTGTCTTCTTCCCAATATTTATGTAATTTTATTTTACAGCCTGAGACAGAACAAACTTGAGTCAGACCCAATTGAAAACAAGGATATTATTGAAACTAAAGTCACAAATGACCATTTCCACTTCCATATGCAATGAACATATAGTCATCCTTCTTAAGTGAGTCATATTGAGTTCTCAATATATATAAACTGCATATAATAGGCAATTCATAATTTCTTGCTATCACTATCTTCATCATAAGCTTAGTTTCCTAGTTGCCTTAAACTATTAAGGAACAGTATACTTAGAAATGATTATTGTAATAAGTTTTAGCCCATTGTCTATATGTATCACTAAAATTGTCAAATCAAGCAAATTGTTAATGGTTAAAAACACTAATGTTGACAATATTAAATTTAGATCTGCAACTTGAAATAGAAATGCTTACTTCTCTCACTTTCATTTTCTAGTCACCTAACCCAAAAAATTCTGATTTCTCTTTTCATTATTTTTCTAGCAAATTTTCTCCAAGTACTTACATCCAGTCAACATTTTTATTTTAAAAAATTTTCCCTGGTTTCTCTAAAAAGTTTCCTGATTATCTTCACTATCCATTCACTTCTATCAAGTTACTCCTTGCTCTATGTGCTCTTTGAATATTTGTATTTTTCAGAGTGATAGCCACTTTTGTTTTACTGCACGTTCTTCATAGGTAATTTCACCCATATCTACAGTTTTCACCACCATCTTTCAAACCTTTTCTCTTACTTTCTACCCATATATCCAAGTATACTCATTACTGATTTTTGAGTACCTACCATCTGCCAAGAGTCTACCCTTTAGATTTATTTTCTCATTTAATCTTAGTACTTCCTAACTTTATTTTACAGAAGTGCAAATTGAAGCTTATATAAGTTACTTGTATTACCCAAGATCACATAGCTAGTAAACAACAGTCTTGGTTCAGGTTTACATTTTACTGCTTCCAATGACCATTTTCTAAATGATTCATACTTTTTTACTGTGGTTAAGTGAATCTTTCAAAATATAAGAAATTGAACCATGGTATGGGAGCAAAAACACAAACTCAGATAACATTAATACTAAATGGAATCATAGAGATTAATGATGTATAACCATCTTTTTATAAATGAGGAATTGAGTCTCAAATAGCCTGAAGTTGTATAAGTAATTTGTATCTATTTTATTAGGAGTTAATTGTACTATGCCCTTTAATAGACAGTTCAGATTTTAAAGTATAAAATTATTCTAAGAATGTTGTAATGGCCTATGGTATAATTTTTAAGCAAAACATACTTTAAATATAGCCAAGAGGTAAGATTGACCCTTTATAAACACAGCAGTATTCAAGTTGTAGGTAGTGGTACCAAGGATGCTAAATATAAAAAGTCACAATTAAAACTAGATTTATTAATTTGCTGTCATTCTGAAAAAAGCTTTTGAAAGAGTTAAATGTCAGAATAAAGTTGGTCCTCTATATCTCTAGGTTTTGCATTTTCAGATTCAACAAACCACAGATTTAATATATTTCAAAATAAAAGTAACATCATTATTGACATGTGGGGACTTTTTTCTTGACTCTTTATGTAGCATTTACCTTGTACAGGGTATTATAAGTAATCTAGTGATGATTTAAAGTATACTACAAGGTATGCATAGGTTATTCAAGTACTACAACATTTTATATAAAGGACTTGAATACCTCTGGATGGCTGGATAGGTAGAACTATTCCTGCACAGGAACAACTGTGTCATGTAATTGAACACTGGATTTCAAGGTCATATTCATAATACTTTTTTTTTTTTGGTGTTGGTTCCCTACAAATTTGGATGATTGTTAGAATTATCTTTAGGAACATTATCTTTAGGAACATTTAGCATATTTTTACCTTTCCTATAAAGTTAAATGCTTTTGATGATATAATTTTTTTTTTTTTTTTTTTTTGGTCTCTTAAACAGTGTATTTAAAAAACTGTCCTGGGTGTGTCTATCCATGGTGTTACTTACTCATGCCTTAAAAACACTTCACAGAAATTGGGATTGGGAGTCTGAATATACATTGTTCATGTCAGCCTTAAAGGTAAAGTATGGTTCAGAATCACAGGAAAGTATGTCATCAGTGATATATATATAGAGAGAGAGAGAGGTTTTTTGTTTGTTTGTTTTTTAGCCATTTCTTTGCTGTTTTTACTTTTAATCAGACATTAACTGTCAATATTAAGTCATTTACCAAAAAGTTATTGAAAATAATTTGTTCTTTATATTATTTATGGCATAAACAAATTATCTACATAGTACATGGCTGTATATTCAAAGAGTATGTTAATATTTCTTTCAGTGCTACATACATGTTAGAATTCCACATGATAAGGAGTACTGAATTTCATTGGTTCTAAGGGTACACATTTTTTCCTAACCTGAATACCTGGAACAAGCATAAATCTTACATTGAAAGTTATCTCTAAATTAATTATTGACTTTTTTTTCTTAATGGTTCATTAAATAGTGGTGAGTTCTATAGTTGATGTGCCTTAGAGTCAATGAAATAAAATAACACAACAAACAAAAATAGAATCCTGCTATCTAAAAGATGATCAATGGTTACTAATATGGAAAAGATCAGAACTGATAGAAGGTAGTGGTAAAGCATTTCTTATAGAATGGACAATAAATATCTAAAAAAAGTTCTTTTAAAACCATACATTTGTTTTCTATAAAGGTTATCAGCAAAGAATTATTTTAAGCTCTTCAGGTTATCAGCAAAGAATTATTTTAAGCTCTTCCTTATCAGTGCCCATCTTCAAATGTCATAATTCTTACTTTATTTTGGCTATTTCTTTATTCTCTTTTGCCTAGCTTTATGGAATTGCTGACTGTACATAACAGATGACTGTCCTCTAGACCACAATAGTAGTTCCAGTAGTTCCACCTTCTCCCTGAGCTCTGCAGACAAGTGAACCTTGAGCCCGTATTTTTTGAAAATTTCTTTATTCTCACTCTCAGAACAATGGTTAAAACCTATAGTCATGGTTATAGATCAGTGGTAGAGCACTTGTCTAGCATGTGTGACACACTGGGTTCGATATTCAGCACCACATTAAAAAAAGTAAATAAAATAAAGGTATTGTATCAATCTACAACTAAAAAAAAAATTAAAAAAATAAAACCTATAGTCATAATTGATAATTCCTTGGTTGGGTATCATCCTTTGCCTGTAAGAATACCTTGCACATCTGAGAACTCTAAAAGCACACATTGACTCAGAACTTAGGGTTCCTTTTACCATAATAGAGTACTTAAGTAGCTTTAAACATGTTAAGAATAAAAATAAGTCATCAATACAATGTTTTAAGAACATTCTCATATTCTAATACCTTCTTTCTTGAAGGAATATGAATAGAATAGAAATTTTCACACAGCACTATGTTTTGATTATGTAAAATTTTAAGTACAATTCTAATAACATAAAATAGGTGAAATTAGACTTTTGTGGTTTTAGTATATCATTAGGGGAAGAAGAGAGTAAATATGGTGAAGCAGTCTTCATTTGACTTCATCTCCAGGGACATCTCTATGAAACAATCCATTCCTAATAGTACACCACTCAAATATCTGTGTGAATTGGAGTCATTTTTTTAATATGTAATTTACTTCATTTTAATTGTATTTAAGGTAAATAAAAATAATGCCAAATTATGGAATAATGTGGGTCATGCTCTGGAAAATGAAAAGAACTTTGAGAGAGCTTTGAAATACTTTCTACAGGCTACTCATGTTCAGCCAGGTAAGCATTATTAGTAAATTGATGAATGGTTTGTTTTTGTTTTTTTTAGAAGGAAAACAACATTTTGGGGGGAAAAAACATTTATATTATATATTTGAGAATTTTTTCTTTTAACATAGTTGTTGGATGACAGTGAAATGTGCTTTTTGATGGAGTACTGGATGCACAAGCTTGGTAGAAGTGATTTTAAGAGAGTAGAAGAAGAATTGGAGACAATTCGGAAGTGGAAGAAAAAAAGTACCTTTGGGGCTAATCCAGTACAGTTGGGGAAAGTAATAATGCCACGTGGGAAGACAAATAACTAGATGATGATATTGAACAGATGAGAGGAAGGAGCAATAGGGACCCAGTATCCAGAAAGGATCTGGTGCTAAAGATGAGGATTTTATTCAAATTGGTACTGACAGTAAATGTGGTAACAGAAGGCACAGTATATGGATGTGGAAAGAGGCAGGAGAGTAGATGAAAAGGATGAAGTTTCTGGAGTTTTCTTTTGTTTGTTTCGGTTTTCTCGGTGAAATAGAAGGTAAAATCATTAGTAGAGAATAAAAAGGAAGAAGTGTTTGAGATCTAAGAACAGGAAAAGATATGAAATAGTGATCCAAGAATTTGCTTCATAAACTTAATGTATATATGAATCAGAGAGTTTGTTATAAAGTATATTCTGATGAAGAGTTAGAGCCTAAAATTCTGCATTTCTCTTAAGTTCCCATTGATGCTTAGTCTACAAATCACACTTAGAGAAACAAAGATCAAGGAAACTAGGAAAATAGTTTCCTATTATATAGATTAGGAAAATAGAGTATAATTGCCAGGCAACTCTGACACCCTACTTTAGATTAGTATTAATTTAAAATTAAACCAGTTGGTATAGTTACATGTTTTTCTCCTACTACTTTTTAGCTACAGTGGTAATGAAGAATTCAATTCAAAAGAGTTAAAATTTTGTCAGACATGTATAACTAAGCAAAAAAAAAAAGAACGGAATGATTATAATGATGAGTTACAGAATTTAAATTGGTTTAGAGTAGATGAGAAACTTGGTAAGTGGTAGTGAAATAGTTACAGGATCAGCAGATTACAGGTCTGAAGAATGGTTGGTCTAAGTATCAGAGTGTAGCTAGAGCAGCAATATTTTCAGTAGGGACTACAGTTGACATTTCAACAGTGTAGAACTTTATTATAGGATATGTACCAAATGTGATCCGTACCCACCAATGCCATTACTTTCAATTCAGATTAACAACCAAAAGTAACCCACCACCTTAAGTGTCCTCACAGAAGTACAGAGTACTGGGTACTGCCCCCAGTTTTTTCTAGGAGGTATGATTGTGTCTGTTGGAGCAACCTAAACTGGTAGAAAGAGGTGAAAATCATTGGAAGAAAGGCATCAAGGCCACAATATTAAATCTGTATAGATTTTGAAATGGTTAAGAATTTTGACTGTCATGATGTTGGAGGGAGCAATAGGAACCCAGTATCAAGTATGTACACTATAATATGCACACAGGGACTAGTGACTGCAACTTGGAGGGATAATGGACAATAGAGTTCAATGGCCTGATGTTTAGACAAGAGTGATTTTTAAAAGGATTGATAATTGTCTGCAAGTGGCATCAGGGATCAAGGAGAACATCTAATCTTCTTCCAGGCCCAGTGTTACAAAGGATAAGAAAAAGAACTCAGTCAACACTTGGAATAGGTACAAGCAAGATAACCTTGTCTCCAAGACAAAGCCAAGTTTCAATTAGAGAAAGATTAACAGAAGATTATAGAAATGGAACAATTGGTCTTTCCCTCCAGTTTTATCTCCTATAACTCTTTCATCAAGATTAGTTTTTCTTGAAATATTGGGTACACATACTGTTCTTCTACTTTGGCTCTGTTTATATTCTTCTTATTTTTTTTATTTTATATATGACTGCGGAATGCATTACAATTCATATTACACATATAGAGCACAATTTTTCATGTCTCTGCTTGTATACAAAGTATACTCACACCAATTCGTGTCTTCATACGTGTACTTTGGATAATGATCTGTTTGTATTCTTCTTGAACCTTCTCTCCTTTCTCCCTTTCCTCCCATTTACTTTCCAGCATATCCCTGCTAGACATGATCTTTTATAACCCATTTTTTATAACCCTACAAAAAATAGGCTCTTATTCTAAATTACCTTCCCATCTTTCCACCTAAAGAAAGTATTTCTCATGTAAAATACCTTACAACTACTCTTTTTTTTTTAAATATATTCTCTGTAGTGCCATATTTTATTATTGAAATGTTAATTTGCTCAAAATATTTATTAAATTGCATGTAAAACATTGGATTTATCTTTTAACTCCTACATTATCTTGTAGCATCCTATACACAATCAAGAATCACTAAATGTGGTTGTTTTAATTCATTACTTTTGAAGTCTTTTAGATTCATTCTAGGAGTATTTAGAGAAAGTTTTGATGTCAGGTTACACAGGCTTTGAGACTCTTATTTAGACCCCTTCAGCCAAAGTTTTTCTCATTTTTAAATTGGAATAATGATTTTTGTCTCAGCATTGTTCTGAAGACTAAATGTGTATGTTGATAAATGTGTATAAGTGCAATTTAATCTAGTAAACAGTGTATTTAATCAGAGAATGTTGCAAGTATGGGCACTTAGTTTTAAATAATTTTCTCCATCATTATCAGTTGTCACCTTTATAGTTTTTTAGATATACTTGCTGAACCTCTCTATGTATGACATAAGTATCACACTTTCACAATTACTGTTTTAATAAGTCATAGACTTGGGAGGACAGGTAATCAAGTTTATTAGAAATATTTATGAATAAAAAAGCTTATAAAAGTTGAAAGTGATATTCAGAGACTTCTTATTCTTTGTGTGGTTTGGTTTGTTTTTTGCTATGTTCATAGATTACTTTGACAGATGAAGTGACATTATTTCACTGTATTATGAATAGTTATTGGAGTTTGGGAGAATGTAACCAAGATAGAGCTAAAAAGAATGACTTAGATTTTGTCCCAAAAGACTGAATAGTAACAAGTATAGAGATGATCATTTAAGCCCTGAAATAGCATTAAATCACACAGAGTAGGGATTCATAACATCCTAAGGCTCTTTCAATTAAAAAAAGTGTGAAGGCTTTTGTTGCATACAATGGGAATAAATTACATGATAGTCTTTGATCAGACCACATGCATGTTATGTTAGATAACCAATTTATTTTTCTTGTTTTGATAATTGCAAGTGTATTTTTAAAAATCCCAGTTCACAGTTTTGTAAATAAAGTTACAGTTACTGTAAACCCTTTTAAAAGTCAAGGATAATCTACCCTTAAGATACATCAGAATCCTCCAATTTTTTTGTTTTGTTTTGTATTGTTTTGCCTAGAGAGCATTGATTTCATTTTTATCTAAGTAAAAATCTTTGAAACTGTTTAATCAGAAAAGATAGTGGACCTGTACTTTAACTTTGATGTCATCAGGATGGGAATAATTTTAAAAGAGTTTTAGGAGTTTCCAGATATTTATAAATTTTATTTTTAATTGATAATTTTGTGGACAGGGAATACTGGGAAGCAAAATAGTTTGGACATCGGTGTGAGAATTCTTGATTGCATTCTTTTGGCTAAAGCATTAGCAGGCATACACATTTGCCTGATAATTTGCCTTCTACATCACATGTAGACAGGATGACTGAGATCACATGCAAGCCCATGGTGCTTCTAATAACTGGTCATTTAAGAGGAATGGTAAATGAAAATTAAATTTCACAGTATCTACAATTGTAATGTCATATAAAAAATCTGTGGTTTCTAAATGACAAAGTCAAGGTATTGTTACTACTTATTAGGATTTGCCTGTGTTTCTAATTGAAGGAAATTCTAATTTACTCATACATGTTAATGAAAATTAAAATGTAATTACATTCTCTTCCAAGTTCTTGGATGTCCTGAATTCTATCCATGAGTCACTTGGAAATGAAGAAGTACAAATAATTATACAAACAACTCTTTCAAAGAGATTTACTGTATAAAAGAACAGAGATTTTAGCAGTACAAAGATAGTATGAGCAGAGTCACATGGAGAAAATGAACATGATTCAGTGTGTAAGAAGATTGGTTGGTCTTAGATAAGAGAGGAGGTATAGAAGGGAAAACTGAGTATGTATATTCACACAGATTGGTTGAGAGCATCGATAATGGGATGAGTCATAAATTCCTCTCTGTTCTCATTTCCCTGATGAAAATAAGATATTAGAAATTTGAGGAGAGAGAAGGAATGAAACACTACCCAACTAGGGTTCTGAAAAATATGAGTTTATTAGAAAAACAGTTATTGACAGACTGAGAGTACATTTAAGATTTATAATGTCCTCATTTACATTGAATTAAAAGCAGACTAACTTATGCTATGCTTGATTTGAATAATTTACTCAGATAAACAAATTTGTGCTTTGACTTCTCTATAGCTCCTTAGTTATTTAAATATCTTTGATTTTTTTTTCATCTTCTTGCCTTTTTTCGAATTTAAATTTACTTTAGAAATAATACTATTCCCAAAATCCTTTGGGATGTTTTAACTTTATAACTTATAAATTCTTCTTACAAATTATGTCATTTTTTAAGTCTTATTAAGTAGCCATTTTATTGCTAAAGGATATCTAATTGCTGTCTTTTGTTCTTTGAAAAAATGGAGCTACTTTATTATAATGTCTGAAGTCTGCATTGATGGCAATAACTTCTTATTATTCCACCTAATTCCAGTGGGTTATAATTTGCTTTATTTTTTTATCTTAAGTAAATAACCTCTTTCTTTTCTAAACCTGGTTGAGACTTATTTTAGTACAAGTACTCAGTTGACCTCATTATTTACATTTTTCTTTATATACATTTCCCGTTTAATTTTTTGTTAGATTAAATTCATTACTATATAACTTTTTCACGTTCTATATATCCTTCGTTTTTACTGTATATGTTTCTTTATAACAAAAACTGTGGATTTAATTGATGTTAAAAATTAAAAAACAAATCAGTTCTATAAAAGCAAAGATTACCTATTGTGTATTTTTATACACACTTGATAATTAGATAATTTTTCACTCCTGGCTGTAAAGCAGAATTCCCTTTGAAACTTTTTAAAAACAGGTATTCTAGTTTGCAAGTAGGATTGCAATAACTAGCCTGAGTTTTTTTTGTTTTGTTTTTGCTTTCTTAACCCTACTGACTCCATAAGACTGGGCAGTACATCTAAAATGAAAAACTCCCTTACCTCCAACTTTATCCCCCAGTTCTCAAACCAAATTTATACTACATCTGCCATTTTTTATACAGTACACACAGTTGCCAACCTGAAGCATAATGTAGCAAGATCTTAGGACTGTTGCTCTCCTCCTAGGGGAATACCCAAGATAGATATGCTTGGCCCCTATGTGTCCTGGGAGTTGCAGTCAGAGAATTATTCCACAATTGCAAAATCGTCGGTGTCACAGGCAAGTAGTATTCACCAGTTGAAACCTTGTCATGTCTGTTAGATATCCTTGTAATTTAAGATCTCTCTTCCTTTTATCTTTGTTCCAAACCTTTGAAGTATTTACTGGGAAGTATATCTTTTTAAAACTAATATGCATTGAGTCCTCATATTTTTCTGTATTTTTCTTTCCCTGAAAAAAAAATTGATTTTATTTTTCCATTTTGAAAAATGAGGCATAATTTCCTGGCATTCCAAAGTTAACATAATCTTTTTATAAGTTTTTCATGAATTATATAGTGTTGTATCATCATTTAAGAGAGAAGGGCCACAGCATCTTACATAATACTGTTACCCTGTATTCCATTATTGTGTCATTACAGTCACATTCACACAAATTTTTAAAAAGCTTATCACAAAATTCTTTTAGTCTCTAACTTTTCTACATATTTGTTAGCTATAATACTTGAGCTAATTCTAGGACTCATGATGATCCTTTTCACTTACAGAGTTGAACCATATTTTTTTATTGAATTCCAAAACTATGAGATTAAGGAAATAGAAATAAGCTTTAGTATAAGATAGTAAAATATAGTGAACAGTAGTAAGGTAATGTCATCATGACCTATGTTGTCCTAACCCTTTAGAGAGTGATTGAAATACATTTTTCATGTTAAATACATTTTCTGCCTTCACATTGCTATACATGATTTTTTAGTATACCATTCATCATAAGTTATACCAAGTTATGTTAAAAGAAGTTCAGAGAACCAGGCATGGTGGCATCCTCTGCCTATAATCCCAGCTACTCAGGAGACTGAGGCAAGAGGATCATAAGTGTGAGCCAGCCTCAGCAACTTAGTGAGGCCCTAAGCAATTTAGCAAGCCCATGTCTCAAAAATAAAAATAAAATGGGCTGAGGATATGGCTCAGTGTTAGTGCCCCTGGGTTAAATCCCTACTACCAAAAAAAAAGAAAAAAGTTCAGAGCAGAGGAAAAGCAAGATCTGTTTCCCTCTTTTGTATTTTTTACCTAGTTTATTTCTAGAAGCATGTCTTCTCAGTAACCTTGAATACTATTATACTCTCAATGAATGATTTTTTTCTTTTAGATGATATTGGAGCCCACATGAATGTAGGAAGAACTTATAAAAATTTAAATAGAACTAGAGAAGCTGAAGAATCTTACATGACGGCTAAATCACTAATGCCTCAAGTAAGTTGTCATAATTTAATCTATTGTGTCATGTCTCCTCTGTGTCCATGTTGAATAGTATTATTTGGATGGGAAATCTTTTTCTTCAGTTTGTTCATATAAAAAGTAAGGTGTCTTACAGAATTTTCTATTTCTATAGAAAGTGTTATAAATGATTACATTTACTTTTCTAGCTAACTTGATGTTTAATTATTTTTATAGTCTATTTATAGTCTTATAGTCTATATAAGGAGGATTTTGTGTACTTTAAGCAATAAATTCAACATTTTTCCTATCCAAAAAATGAATATAAGTGATAAAATAGAATGTCTCTGTTGCTAAATTGTTTTAATCACTTGTTAGAATGATATAAGCAGAAATTCATCAGATATAACAATATAGTATCAAAGATGAAAGATCTGTTCAGAAAACAATTTGTGCTGCAGATTTCTCATTAAAATAGCAATATTAATGATTGGATACTTTAATAAATTTTCTAAAAACAAAGTTGGACCACATATCCTGAGGATTATTTCAATTCTAAAATGATATGTTAAATTTATACTTATTATAGGTTTTTTAATCAGATAATTTATTGTGTTCGTTAAAAAATTGGATCCATCTATATTATATGTAATGACCTTTTTTTAACCTGAATAATCAACTGACTAGAACATGTATTTATCAAACAAGTTAGTTTTAAGTATAACTCTGAAATAAAATTAACTGCCCTCAGGAAATGTTTTGCTGACAAAAAAAAAAATTGACAAAGTGTACAGTTGGACTGAGAGGCAGGAGATCTGGGTTTTTTCCTTTTCTGATGCCAATTTTTTAAGAAATCTTGGCCTCTAAAATATCTGATTTATCCGACTTTAGAAAAAGTAGATATGAATAAAAAGCTATCAATGGTTGCATTTAGCTGGCATGAATGAAAAATTGTCCTTTATTGCCACAAAATTTTACGTTTTGTGAATATTACACATGTTCACTTTCACATTTTTATATTTAATTTGATACATTAGTAAAACTGGCAGCATAATGTTACTGTTTTCTGTGTTACTTTAAATAAGCCCCTAGGAAAACTTACTTTTTATCTTTATTTGGTACTGAAATATCAAATAATGAAAATACCTTTTCTTCTAAACAGATTATTCCTGGTAAAAAATATGCAGCTAGAATTGCTCCTAACCACCTAAATGTTTATATCAATCTGGCCAACCTTATCCGAGCAAATGAGTCCCGGTTAGAAGAAGCAGATCAACTTTATCGACAAGCAATAAGTATGAGACCAGACTTCAAACAGGCCTACATTAGCAGGTATCATAGTTCACTTTAGAGCCATCAATGTAGAAGATTGAAGCTGTATCTGCATGTACCTCTTGACTAAATTTGGCATGTTTTTCTTTTAGTTACTTGACTCCAAATACATAGAGAGATTATAGCTTATTTTAGAATGACAACCAAATTTAATTAATTTGAAATTGACAAGGGAATCCCTTGTTTTGAAATGGCTAACTTAAGTTTTATATGAAGGAAAGGGTAGAAAAAGCTCCTTCTGTTTCATTTTCTTATCATCACCAAAATCTTTTTCTTTTTTTCCCATCTAAAATATCTAGAATTTATATTTTCTGTTAGCACCTTCTGTTATTCAACTCTCAGAAACTTTCTTAAGTAAATTTTGAGATTTGACTGGTTATTGATTTCTTTAACCACAAAGAAACCTTGGTAGTTTTCTAACATCACATGTCAGTCTTATGTACTTTCTCATGTAGGTGTGGGAAAAATGGCTGTTAAACTCTGTTTTGCAGCCAGGCTAGGAAAACTAACCACTGTTTCTATAGAAAAAGTGCATTCAGAATTTAACTTTTTGAGATATAATTTATTTTATCCAGTATTCAGTTTCAGTGAAAATATTAGTAAAAATATTTTTGAGCAAAACTAAATTTAAGTTCTCTAGCAGTAAATGAAACTAGATTGGAAAATTGATGCAATGATTTTCTAACTGATCTCCAATTCTAGATGTGTTTCTTAGTTATCTGCAGGTGGCACTATTTCCCTTCTACCCTACAAGATCAACTTTTTTGAAATTCCTTTTTTCTTTTAATGTTCATTTTATAGAGTACTTTTAAGGATAGTAAGTTAATATAAGGAGTTACAAATTTCAAATGCTCTGTTCATTTGTATATTGAGATTTGTATCATAGATTTGAAAACTGTAATTTTTCTACAATCACATTTATTTTTCTTTTTCAAATGCTTTCTTCATTATCTGAAAAATATACTGATCTCCCACACTTGATTATTATTACTTGATTAGACTCATTTTTCTAATGTAGTCAAGTCTGTTTCATTTTAAGATATATTCAAAGAATAGATTTTCTCTGTTCCCCTTTTTTGAGTGCCTCTCCACATCTAACCTAAAGTCAAGCATACGTTTTCTTTCTGTAATAATATTTGAAAATATATCCAGCCTAATTTGCCGAACTATGGAGTTCAGACTTGAGAGCAGCTTCAAAATGTTATTTTTGTTTTTGAAGAGAACTTTTAAGAGACTAAGTTAAGAGAAGTAATGAAAGCTGTATGTGGAAAGGCTTCAAACTTGTAATAAATGGTGTCTACTAACTGACATATAATGTTTTACATAAACCTCATGTTTAATTTTTTTCACAGGGGAGAATTGCTTTTAAAAATGAATAAACCTCTCAAAGCAAAGGAAGCATATCTTAAAGCACTAGAATTGGACAGAAATAATGCAGATCTTTGGTACAACCTGGCAATTGTATATATTGAACTTAAAGAACCAAATGAAGCCCTAAGAAACTTTAATCATGCTTTAGAACTAAATCCAAAGCACAAACTAGCATTATTCAATTCTGCTATACTAATGCAAGAATCAGGTATGTTTTCTCAATATTTTTATAATTATAATTTGATACACAGTAAAACATTAATTTAAACTTCATTACCCATAATAAACATTTTGTAGAGGTAGTTTATAACAAAATTGTATATAAATGACATAGTAAGAATATTTAAAATGCTTGAGTTTTACTTTAGACTCTTTTTCAAGTAAAATGCACTGACATGAGAATACTAATTATTCATTTTTCAGTATGTGTTAAGACTAATTTTTAGGCAGTCTGTTAAACAATATCTAATGTGTTTGTTAATTTATTCATGTAAGCATAATATAACCTCTTTAACATATAAATAACATTAGAGTTTACTTTGATTTACAAGATAAAATACTTGTATTTTTTATATCTAGTTTTACTAATTTTTTGAGGTATTATTGTAATTTCCTACAATCCTGCAAAACTAAATTATTAATCACAATAATTTTCTATCTTTTTACCGTATGTTGTATAGAAATGTTAGTTGTCCCTCTCAAGGCAGAATATATGATTATAATCTCTTTAAACTTTATGTTGGAAAGATCTTTTTATTTGTAATTGCTGTTTATTTCTTAAATGTTTTTCTTAAAACATTTACAAAAAGGAAAGAATCGTAAAATTATAATATTTTTAATATGCTCACTTTGACCGATCTTCTATTTACTAAGTTATAAATGAAGCTCCTCCCAGCTTCATAGAGCTACATTAGTAACTGAAGTCTAGTGATTTATTTTCAAATTTTCCATATTCATCATGTTGTGAATTAAAAGAACAGAGTTTATGGTTGGTGTTCAAAAATGTATAATTTTTAGTAAAACTAATGGTTTGTAAAATAATGATCATGAAGGCTGCTCATTATACAATATAAGATTGCACCCTAAAGTGTATAGTTGTAGAACTGAAAAAAATCTTATTTGCAATAGAAATTATCTCAGTAAGTATTTGTTTTTCAGATCCTAATTTTAAAGCCTAATAGATAATGGTCTATTTTTGCCCTTGAAGTTTCCTAAAAATTTTGAAATAATATGCCAGAAAACTGAGTTAATAATTCTGAAACATTTTTAACAATAAGTTACTTTTTGCTGGGCATTTTTACATATATGTCATAGTAATTCTTGTAAAATTCAGTAAGTTAACTCAGAGATGTTAAGTAACTTGTTCAGAATATAAAGTCATAATTTAACAAAATCAAGATTGATGTCTTTTTTGGGAAATCATACACCTTTGTCCTCTTAATTCTCTATTCTTCCTTTGATATTTCCTTGTAGATTCTTAACTTTGAAACGATTTTTTTCCCTTTTGGCTTCTGAAGCACTCTTACTACTTTAAAGGAAAGGAAATGATCTACCATTTAATTATGTCAGTGTTTCAAACATATTTATCTTTCCAATAAAGAGAGATTTTTTGCTTTTAGTTTTTTATTTAAGGTATAGAAATTAGTTGCTTTGGTGCTATCTTTTTGTAATCTAATTAAATATTTGAAAATGACTGTGTTCCTTAGATGCAATTCATTTGATAATAATATTTTATTATCTTTAAAAAAAAAAAAAATGATTCCTAGGTGAAGTTAAACTCAGACCTGAAGCTAGAAAAAGACTTTTAAACTACGTAAATGAAGAGCCACAAGATGCTAATGGCTATTTCAATTTGGGAATGCTTGCCATGGATGACAAAAAGGACACTGAGGCAGAGATTTGGATGAAGAAAGCTATAAAATTACAAGCCGATTTCAGAAGTGCTTTGTTTAATCTGGCTCTCCTGTATTCTCAGACTGCAAAAGAATTAAAGGCTTTGCCAATTTTAGAAGAGTTACTGAGATACTACCCTGATCATATCAAGGGTCTCATTTTAAAAGGAGACATTCTGATGAATCAAAAGAAAGATATACTTGGAGCAAAAAAATGTTTTGAAAAGATTTTGGAGATGGATCCAAGCAATGTGCAAGGAAAACACAATCTTTGTGTTGTTTATTTTGAAGAGAAGGATTTATTAAAAGCTGAAAAATGCTTGGTTGAAACATTGGCATTAGCACCACATGAAGAATATATTCAACGCCATTTGAGTATAGTCAGGGATAAAATTTCCTCATCTGGTTTTGTAGAACAGCCAGTATTCCCAGCTGATAAGACTTCAGGTGAAGAAGGAGACAAACTTCCAGCTGAAAATATAAAAGAAATCAGAAGTGAATCCAGACCAACACAGATAATGAAAACAATTGAATCTAAATCCAAAAAACAATTAGCAAAAAATGCAGACAAAGAGACCCCCCAAAAAACAACAAAAGACATCAAAGAAATTGAGAAGAAGAGAGTTGCTGCTTTAAAAAGACTAGAAGAAATTGAACGTATTTTAAATGGAGAATAGCATTATTCTTTATAATGTGACATTGGTATCAAAAACTTCAATCTATATCATGTGATTGATTGTACTGGGAGCTTTGAAAAATATCAAGAATATGTAACAGTCTATCATGGGCTGCCTCTACATTGGATCAAAATAAGATTTTTCATTAAAGACCTGTCTTACCCCAAGATATGTGTCATATATGATATGGCAGAAGTTTTTAGTTTTGGTTAACAAAGCAAAAATTTCAAATTACAGCTGATCAATTTGTGACTTTGATTATAGAAGGAAAATTTTTCTGGCAGAATAATCTTTACAACTCTGACTTAAAAATAGTTTGATTATGATTCTTTGAGGATAAATCCAACAAGTGCTGGTTCATTCTATGAATTCCCATTTATTAGCCACTCCATTTTTCCTTTACCTGTTGAAAACTGGCATTGGGTTAAAAACATTTTTTGAACACATTTTTTTTTTCTTCAATAATTCTTTTAAATCGAGAGATTTTTGCACTACAAAAGAACACTGGGTCTTTATGTTGTATTATTTGGTTGACTTTTAGAAAGAATGCTGGGTAAAACATTTTAGATGAATTATGACATGTTAGTTTAAGAATAGTTTTTCTTAATTTCATACTTGTTCTTCATTATACAATGCAGTTTTGAAGCAGCTGAAGTTATACACACACACACACACTCTCTCTCTCTTCTAATGGTGCTCACATATACTGTATTTTTTTTTCCACATTGACAGTCAAAACATGAACCACTAAATCATGACTGTTCTTCAGCTTTTAATCCCCAAACTGTTATGTTTCTTAACATTAATCATATCGAGAAGCTCTGATAATTCTTAACTTTAGACTCCTGAGTAATAGTAGACTTCTGTTTCATCTTATTGTTAGCTCTCTAGTTTTATTGAGTTTAATTTTCTGTTTTCAAAGTGACACCTTGATTATTCTTACTTTAAGCCACTAAATTCAGTTCTTTTTTAACTGAAAACAATGTGACAAAGTTTATTTTTAAGCACTAAATTCTTGATATCTTGTGGTATATATATTATTAAATATTTATTTTAACTACTGAGTTTCATAAAAATGTTTTAAGCTGTCTTAATTCTATCCAATATGGAAAACAAATTGTTTTCAAAACAAAGCAATTTGTTTTCTAGTGCATTTGCATATATGAGCATTTATTATGATTTAACCAAAATTGCATCATTTGGGCCAGTTGTCAATTACAAAATTATCCTACTAAATGATTAATAAATTTATCACCTTGGTTTTAGCAAATTGAAACCTGAAAAATGTGTTACATTGAAAGTAGGTACAAATTAAAAGTTAAATTTATTAATTGAAATCTAATCTTTTTTTTTAGTTAAAATACATTTTAAATGAGTTTTATAAAGTAAGTTATAATTTGAAATGTTAAAGCTCAAGAAAGCTGTCATTCTGGGATAGTAACTAATTTCTAATTATGTAGTATTTCAAAAACTATACTTTTTAGTTCCTTTGAGAAAACTAATTTCTAATTATATATGTCTCTAAAACCATATTCCTGTAATGTTTTTAAGAAATGTTTTATAAATAGGTCACAAGAAACATAATCTGCATTAAAAACCCAGTCTTATTAGGTTCCCAGAGGATCTGGCATAGATTTTTCTAGGCAATTTAAAGCAAGCATGGATGCCAGTGGGTATTAATTCTTGACCCAGGAGATTCTATTAAACATTAAAGCAATATCTTATTTCAGTTCATAGATTACGATTTTGTGACTTCAAATAGAAGGTAGAGAATACCTCATGTAGTATGACTTGAAAAATGAAATTAAGTTATTACATTCTGTCCATTCTATCTTGAGAATGTTTCTGAGGTGATGTCTTCAATGATAATTTTAAGTGGAGGACATTTCAGGAAAATAAAAGGAAATCTTTTGTGACAGCAAAACAATTATATTAGCATTCAGAGCAAGTGTCTGTCACACAGGAAATACTCATGTATTTGAATTTTAAATTATTTAAACAAAATCCATCCTGAGTAATTAATAATTATTAATTATTCCAAATCTGGTTTCAATATGGACCCCACCCCTTGTGATGGAGTCATGCTTCAGTTTTTTTCAAAACTCCATTTGGTTCTAATTTGTAGTTAGAGTTAAGGACTACTGTTCTTAATTAGTTCAGGAAAATCTTTTTGCCTCTCCTGTGTTAACTTTTTAATTTAGTTAACACTAAGGAATATGTTCTGATAAATAAATAACTTGTTTTCTTTGAAAATTAAATCTTAAATTTTATCATACTTGCTTATGTGTAAGATTATTGTTTCTTACATATAAATTCAAAATAAAAATTCAAACTATTCAGGTGAGAAAACGTAATGGATTCTTCTTACTCTAGAGCTACCTTTTTGAAGAGTTGAGGGTGAGGACATTTAAGACCAGTTCACTAACCTGTGATTCAGAGTTGTGGACATTTGTTTGGAAGGGAAAGCTTATCACAAGCTCGTGTGCTGGTAAGTGGATGGAGTTTTAGTTCTACTATTTTATAAAATAATCTACACCCCAGGAGTTCTAGCAAAGCTTTGACAATCCCCAGGAGCAATACTGTGTTACTCCACTAATTCTCAGAAGGTAAAATTCAGTTTCCCAAATTGCTCTTCTATAAGTTTCCTTATTAACATTTGGAATTGGGAATTTTGTAATTATTCCAGTGAAGTAGTTTTCTGAAGTTGATGATGTGGAGAAAAATAATGATGTAATTTTGTTTTACAATTTTGTGTTTACTGTTCTGTAAGTATGTGAGTTACACAATTCTAATAAAACCTCATGCCTTTTCATTACATCTAAATTGAACTGTTTCATGTTATAGAATGCTTCTTTAATGAAAATATTAAGAAAATATATAGATTTGTATGTCAATTTATACTTCAGAAATCCATATATTGTCATATTTATTTTTTTAAAAAATCTAATTGCATGAATATATGTATTTTAAATAAACACACACACACCCAAAAATCTGATAACATGGTCCAAAATTATATGTCTGGGAAGCTGTCAGCCATCCATGCTAAGGGTTCAAATGAATGCAGTTTAAAATTGTATGTATTTTGTATTACTATTGTGTCTCTGTGTACCTTATTTCTAAATATTAAGTATTAAATTGGTACTTTTTAAAACCTTAATCTGACTTGCATTTCAGTTTTGAAAAAAAAAATAGAATATTGTGTATAGAGGTTTTTGCCCTGATGAAGAAAGAAGAGTTGATATTAATTTATTACCAATGATATGAGAAAACCACATGAAATTAGTTTCTTCCATAGTACATTCTCAATCAAAGGGGACAAAGCAATCAAGAAAATGAAACAGTTAAACTTGGAATTTTATACAAGTTTAAGTTCTTTGTCTGCACGGGTTCAAATTCTGCTATCACAATTTGGGGGAAGTTGTTTAACATGTATACACTCAACTTCCTCATCTGCAAGTTTGGAAAAACACTTCCCTTATAAAGTTAGTAAAGGGATTTATATAATTTATACATTAATATATTCAGGAAACTTAGAACAGCTCCTGGTACCTAATTACTAGTATAAACACATGGCTTAAATGTTCACATTTGATACTTTTGAATTGATCAGTGCTAAAAGGAAATATCAAAAACACCAAGATACCAGGGATGGTCATGATCCCAAAAAGAGATTTAAAGATCCATTGCTTGTACATAGGTAGCCTAAAATAAATGTGGGATTAAGTTTAAGTGAATAAATGAGAACTAAGATACTTGAAATGTTGCTACCTTGCTCTTCTGCTCTTCACTGCCATCAGGGAGATTACATAAGAAAATATTCAAGTAACCTATGATTGGATTTCAGACAAATTCGCATTCTTTGGAACCCAACTTTTTTCATCAATAGCATTTATCAGGCTGTCAAAGCAAACATTTCCCATAAATAGCATTTATATTGTAAAAGAATCTGTTGCCATCATTCTGCTTAGAGTAAACTAGCCTTCAAAAATGATCCTAGTTTGCCCTTTCTAAAAGATTTTATTAATCAGAACTTATTTATTCCTGCCCTCTTTGTGACTTTAGTTTCAGAATGAGAAAGTAGACATTAAATGAATCCATGCTGAAGTATGAGTGATAGTTAGATCTTATTAGCCATTTCATAGACTATTTCAAGTAAACTTTATTTTGGACAGTTGCAGGCTGGAGAGTGGGAACTATTTTAATGATAGGGAGTTTCTCTGCCATTCTTTATTTCTAAATAAAGAATCAGGCTTAAAAAGTTTTCTAACTGTAACAAGACCACTTCTGACCAGTCTTGTTTTGAATGGACCCTGATAGGCCTGGTAACTTACCTTTGAGAGTGGAATCACAGTAACTCGACCATCAGCAGAGTCATTATATATAATAATATATTTATTATATGTATTTATTATATCCAATACAGATATCTGTAAATTCCTGGCATGTACATATATAATATGTGATCTCTTTATGACCATCTGTCTGTGAATCTAAACTTTTTATATGCTGGCTTCTTTTTCCTGCCTACTGCTAATGTTTTCTCTCACCTTTTTCCCTCCCTCCCCTTCTTTCTCTTCACAGAATAATAGTGGCAGCTATATATATTCCAAATGTTTAGCCCCAATTTTCTCCAAGCCCTAAAACCATGAATCCAATGGTCTACTGATCGCATCCACAGTCATCTGTTCCCTCCTTCCTCCCTCAGACCTATAGCCAGTGAACAACAAGTCTAAGAAAGAAGGAAAGAAACAGAAAATATATACAACATAAAGCAGAAAGGGGGATTAAGGGAGAGAAAGACAAAAGGGATCGGAAAGCTTGCTAATAATGTATCCATTCAAAACATACTAAGTTAAACACATCATTAGAGTAAATAAACATGATTATGTGGCTTAGGTTGAAAAATACTACCAAAAATATCAAAGAATATAGCTTTTCAACCATTAGAAGAAGACTATTTGGTGGCCTCACTAGTAGGGAGAGAGGCAAAACAATACTACAGTAGATGTTAGACAATTGCTAATACAGCAGCAATCACAAAGAACCTAAGTGGGTTAAAACTTCTTGGAGATGATTATATTTATATTATATTTAAACTGATTAATATAATTATAAATGCAAGGTCCAACAATATGTCTATAAAACACACTTGAAAAGTATACAG